TTTATTTATAGGTACCTACATATTTTTTTACATTCCATGGTGTAGATCATTTATTTTATTTTTTGAATTCAATACAAATATTTCTTTATTATACCTATGCATGAAGTAATTTACTATTATTTTATGCGACTTATTATATAATATAATGTACCTATTGATTTTTAAAAATAAATAACAATTAAAAATTATAAATCATGCTCGTATAGATGAATCTTGATTTATTTTTTCCAACTGTTCTTATTTTGAATCAAAAATGTTTAGATAATTCATTGTTTCCACTATATGCTATAGTCATGGATTTATTTTAAGTTGATTTTTATATATTTTGTACTTCCACTACACTAGTAGCCATTTTTTTTTTTTTTTTTATTCGATTATGGGCTGTAGATTTCGAAAACTTGTTCCGATAATTACTTTTGTGATAACGTCTAACATATTATCATTGAATATATATATATATATATATATATATATATATATATTATACTATACGGTATTAAAATAATATTTTGTTTTAAGTATCTATATGGTACTATATAATATGTAATATAAATATTTTGCTCTTTTTACCACTTGATTTTTTTCATTCGCTATTTTTTCACTTGCTTTTTGCCCTAAACCCCTCTCGTATCCCTATTTGAGCTAATGTATATGATGTGATTTGTTCACACATTACTCTAAAAACATGCAGAATTTCCACCATGAATGAAAAGGTTTTTTTTCAAAATTCCCGACAGTTCGGGGTACACCTTCGGTCTTTATCCTATTTATTTTATCGGTATTTTCTCGCAAATCACTTGTTTTCAGCGGTGCAAAGTCACACCGAAAAATCGCACCAAAATTAAGAGTTATTCGTAAATCAATTGTGCCTACTATAATAGTTACAAATGTATTTAGCTTTTTTCCGCTTAAAAAAATATGTATGTTCTGCTAATTTTAGAAAACTGAGCAGAAAAAAATGAATTATTATTATGAACCTCTAAGGTATATAGTGTATAAGCGTATATTATATTATATTATATTATATTATAAGAGGATATGATTGTAGTCTGTCGATAACGCCTAAGCAGGCGGCTGCTCTAGGCATATTGTACCGTCTCGGCATCCGCATGTTAGCCGGAAAGTCAGTCGTTCTACCACTGTAAAAAATGTACGCCGTCTCGACGACCAATTAAAATATATTTCGTCTCGCAATAAAATTATATTGGCACAAAAATCCTTAAAATAGAGTATAAAATTTTTGTTGTACTCTTTCCTTAAATTGAACCCTCACGCTATCGAAAGAAAAAAACAATGTTCGAACGGAATAACCGATACGAGCGCAACAAAATGTGTACCTACATAAAATTATTCAGATAATCAATTACGACTTTTCAATTAATATAATAATTAAATAATTACTTTTTTTTTTTAATAAAATGTTCAATACACTAATAAAAACCAGACGATTACATCGTTAAAAGTATGAAACATAAAAAAAGTACCTGGAGGAAGGTCCGTCGTGAGTAAAGTTTTGTGAGTTTGTCCAAAATACACGCAAATCGTATTAACTTATAATAATAATTTGTTAGACCAAATGAAAAAATTAGTAAAACTTGATGAAAAATAAAAAGGTGTTATAAAAAGTTATATATATTTAAAACACGCCAGACAAAGACCGAACGTGTCAGAGTAGTGTAGATCATTCTTCTTTAAAACAAAATAATAATTATTGAAATAACAAAGTAATAGGGATACTATTAATAAAAGACAACGGTGTCGTCGCCATAGAGATTATTAATATTCGACCACAGATTAGATAAAATTTTAAATTAGATAGTCTAAATATCTAACCTGTAATACGACATCATCCGCAGTCCATACGTTTCTGACGGTACACGAAGACGCGGAGTTTTGATACTACGTTCGAATCCTTAACAGAATTCTCCCGAAAAGAGAGATCAGGACCAATGGATTTCTTATACCCAAAAATCTTTAAACATCCGACTTTCGCAAAAAAATCACAGCTGATGATGTTTTGTGATGAAAAAAATAAATATACCAGATAACTATATCATTATATCATAATTAAATCAAAAGCACAACGAAATAAAATAATTATATACCTACCAAGGACGAAAAATAATAATAATAATAATAATAATATTGACTACTTAGACAATTGCAGTGGACAAACGGGATAAACCGTAATGTGTAGGTGTAAATGTAAGTGAAAGCTATACGTACGGTTCACATGATTTTTGGTATTAAAAACAAATAATATCTAAAAGTAAAAGTAAAAGTAAAAGTTGTATCTATATGTTTATCGTCATCAATATCTTTGTATTCTTTATAGTCTTCTCGGTTCGAACTTTATCGGGCGAAGCCGGCTAATACAGCTATAGTATGTATTAAATTATACGTATTACGCCTAATATTGAAAATTTGATATTATCCAATTTTCAACACAAGCCGAGTGACCGGTGCTCGAATTCAGGGAGATGCAGGACCCGCAGGAGTACGGAGTACCTCAACTAATTTTACAGAAATTTACCTCTGGTATTTGTTTAAAGTGGAACGCATGGGATACAATGGTTGATACTAAGGGGACGCCAGAAAGATCGTCCCCCCCTAGGAGTCATATTTTTTACGTAATTCTTATATTCTACAGTTATTGTTTATATAGTGTATTTTATTTATGTAATTAATTTATAAAATCCACCCCCCCTTTGAACAACCCCAGGATGCGCTGCTGATGGAGTTGTACATATTTTATATTTTTATCAGATGGATTTTCATTAAAATTTGAACTTAGAGCGCTTATAAAAAAATGATTACATTACGTTGAACTTTTTTTTTCACTGATTGCAACTTATCAAAAACAATTTTAATCACATAAAATCCTAAACAAATCGACAATTTCAAATGGCTAAACTGAAAAATGGCTTGATTAATTTGAAAATTGTCTGGAAAGAGCTTTATATAAGATAATATACCTATATAAATATTCAGTAAATTTTTCAGTCTCTTGGAATCATTTTACCTGAATAAACAAAATAAAATATACAATAGAAACCGTTATGTGTAAAGTGTAAAAAAGTGTGTTTACTGAGTAAATGTAACGGTGAAAAGTTTTCCCCATAATAATTTAATAAGAATTCTACAAAGAAAATAAAAATAACTTCTTCATTGTACCAAGGAAAAAACAATTATTATTACCCCCTACCTCCTTAAATGTTTTTATGAAATCTAATTAAAAAAAAAATGTCATTATAAAATCACATATTGTTGTATAGAGTACAACAATAATTGTATTTATATCTTATAGTCTCTGTAGAGTTTTTTTTTTATATTTCAGCACTGACCGTAACGTAATATATACGAGTATATTATAAAATTACGAGTAATAATGTTTAGCATCAATGTAGTGTCTTGAGCAGAGATGAGTCCCTTAACACCAAATCCTACAATAATTACAGTATCCTATAATTTATTTATTTTTTTTTAAGACTCGTTAATATTCAAGACCGCCCACAGGGAGGTCAATAGAGCCGTGCCTCCACCCTTGTTTTACCTGATATACGTTATACGAACAATTATTTAAATCAGGGAACACGGATTTTCGATTAAAATTTTAAATACACAATTTTTTTCTGTTTATTGTCTCTGATTATATTACAAATCTTAATTTGAAATTTAAAATTCTTATTACATGATGGATTTACGAACAGAATCTATGATAAGGATATAAAATATTCCCCCCCCCCTCCAAAAAAAAAAATGTTTCTTCGGACAGACTTGTTAATATTTTTACCGCTGAAATAGTTTGTTAAGTTGTATTTTGTATTCGAAAAATGCATAAATCAAAATGTTTTTCCATACAAAAGTGCGAGCTTATTATACATAAAGGTACCTACAGTAAAGTTTTCAGCGTCGTGAAAAGTGATTTATTCATTAGCAAATGAGTTTTCGGAACACGACGATTCGTCACTTTAGCCGTTCGGAATATATTATTATAAGTCATCAAAGCTGCATGCATCTCATCCAAACAACCGAACTTAAATATATATGGTGACAGTGTCCTATTATAGTTATACACGGGTCGTGATTTCTTAAGATTCTGAACGTTATTTTTTTTTATTCGTTTGTAGGAAAGACGCGTGATGATTTTCCGACCACTAATAATTGGAAAAATCAGAAAAACGTATCGATAATACTCGAAGGCATTAATAGTTTTATTATTTTCAAATTTTGTTTTTGTTATAAATTGGTTATCGTAGAGGGCTGAAATTTTGTTATAAATTGGTTATCGTAGAGGGATGAAATTTTTACAAATACTTTAATTAGCCTTTTCTAGTGGTGATAAAAAAATGTATCGACATTTTCATGTTAGAAAAAATAATGAATAATAGTCAACATTAAGCATATTATAGTTGCATAATAAATTACACTATAAAAATGAAAAAGTTATGTAAAAATAATTAGATAAATGTTAATTTTTTTAATTAATATTAGTATTTAGATACATTTCTAAATTATTTTCATTAAAATTAAATCTTATATTACTTAAAATATGTTTGTACAAAGAAAAACTACGTTCTACGTCTACGCTAGTTATTAGTGCATATTTAAAACAGTTTAATAAAGTAGGCGTTATATCTAAATTAACATTTGCTTTACTTGACATGACTTCATAGTAAGAATTTAAAGTTTCATACCCTTCATTTTTTTCTTTTACATGCATATATTTTTCTTCCCATTTGGACCAGGAACATTTGTTAAAATATCTTCAATTTTTCTGAAAATATCCACGTATTTCAGTAGTTCACTATTCGATTCTTTCAAATTTTTAAGATTCATGGATAACTCGGATAAGTGTAATTTTATGAATGCTAAACCACATTTGACTGCATTATTACGTACAATCTGCTTTAACTTTTCGACACTTGTAGTATCATATGTTAAACTTTTAATCACGTTTTTAAACTCTTAAAAATTATTTATACAGAAAAGTGCAGCATTTAACCATGTTCCCCGTCTTCCCATCTTGTAATAATAGGTTCGGATGGTAAAGGTATACCCGGCATTTCTGTTCTGTATTTATTTATTCTCGGTGGTGCTTTTAGGAAAGCTCTTTTTCCTGAAATAAACGAAATAAATTACATATGTGTTTAAATTTTAAATCAATTTATTAATGTCGGGATACCCATCTGGAATTTTCTCTAGAACTCTATTAACTACGTGCACCATACACGTAATATGATTTCGGGAAAAGTGTTTTAATGTTTTTGCTGCTTTGATCATCTAAGTACAAGCATCACTAATAAAAAGTAATACTTTTTGTTCAATACCAGAAAATATTTTTAACGAGGAATTAATAAACTGGCAAATAGTTTCATAATTGGTAGATTCTAGTTCTTTACATGCAACTACATATGATTTACTAGGCGTCCCATCTAATTTACCAATTAATAAATTTACAACAGCCAGACCTAAACAAAAATAGTATATTTTATTATATGAGAAATTAAAAAAACTATTTATCCAAACCCATTGGATCGGTTGCCTCGTCAACAATTACGTAAACGTAATTATTTCCAATATCACTTCGGTCCATAACGTTTTTATAAATATTTGGTATGTAATTTTTTCATAACGTGTTTTCGTCTGGAATTCATTTGCCAATATGTTTTTCCAAAAACGATTTTAACGCGTAATTGCCCAGCTTATACAAAAGAATATTTTCAGCAACAATAAACATGTATTTTTTAAATGATATATAGCATAATATGTGTATTATGAGCATAAAATACAAAACTTACTTGTTTCGGAATGATGAGCTAATAAATATTATTTTTCAGTAGACACGGATTTGTTACATACGAGACAATATATAATCTTTTCATCTGATGAAGATACTTCTTTATTTTCATTTTAAGTAACAATCCGATTCGAAATTTTACTTTTTAAAGTTGATATTAATAAAATCAAATGGGCAAAATATTTTTAGTATATATCGGCTATATATTTAATCAGATCTGATTTATCTTGGTTGCAAAAAAAAGTTACAATAACAATTGAATCCGGTCTTTAATTATTACGCAGAAACATAGCCGAATGAGCAGGGTAAAGGGGGGGGGGCTAATCGTTATGAAAATGTATTTAAGGGGAAATACCGTGTCAACGAATAGATTCAATGTGATAGCTATAGCTAATATAAAAATAAAAAGGAAGATATTTATGAAAACTGTATGATATTATATTGTACCGCCTTTGCTCGAAATTCTCCTAGGAGAATGCACCTGTCAGAGGGGTGTATATTCTGTATAATATTATAGCATATATATATAAGATATAGGTGCGCCGAGGCAAAATAATATGGTGTGTCTGCTATACTGTTTTATTTTCTCATTTTATTATCGATTTTTGTTCAAAGCATTGCATTAAAATTTAAAATACATTATATATTGATGAAAACGAATCAACCTACCTATACCCTCACTACGAATACGAAATCCTTGTTACGTCAATGTTCGAACGCGATAACGTGAGTTGAACACCTGACACGTATTACGAGAACCGGATAATGTCACAAACTGAAAATTGATAAAAAAAAAAAAAAAAAAAATAAAAGAATAATATTAAACCGTGTTAAAGGCTCTGGAATGGGAGTGATACATCAACCGAAATCCCAATCGCCCCCTATAAACACGCCGCTACAATAATATATTATTGTGAATTCTGCGGCGAATCCATCCGTATTTATTATCATTGTCTACCATCTGAAACCCTGAGAGTACGGTTCCTTTAACGCGTAATCCGCGTGCGGAATTCGCGTTGTACGTATCGTCTTGCGCACGCGTAGTGGTTTATACAAACGGCTGCGGTTGCGCGTACACGTGCGTACAAAGGACGTGTGTTTACACTTTTATCAATGATAATACGATAATATGACATGATATATCATCAATTGAAAGAAAACAATTTAATTGTACAGTGCAATTATTTTTTAGTTACAAAAAAAAAAACAGAGCTGACACTGGAGACGGGTGCGTCTCGCTGTACAATGGGTACCCACTGTTGTGGGTGCGTAGTTGGGAGAGTGGGACACACAGAGTTATTTATAATTTATACCTGCAGTACCCAACGGTAAAACGTTGCCAACGAAAAACGATTTGGAGCGAAGTTCGGTTACACACGTGTTGAAGGGCCGTAATATTTACGATTTTCGTTAAAATTTGATTTTAAAGAAATACTATGACCGACTCGATTTCTTTATCCCTCGCCACGCTCCGAATCTAAAAGTATCATTTTTTTTCCTATTTCAATACAATGTAACATTAACGCACGGATATTATGGACGTTCGGCCTTACGTAATATTATATTTAAGCAAATTTAAATTATCAAAAAAAAAAAAATAATAATAATAATAAAAACTACATTTTCTTTTTCGCCGTTTTTCGTATTTTATGGCATATTTCAATTACCACAGAATGGTCCTGATGAAGAACAAAATACTGTACCATTACTATGTGAATAGTATATGAATTACATATTATTGATCCGTGTAGTTTTAGAAGAAGAATGAGACGTCCGGCGGCGTGCTCAAGATTGGTTAGGTTAGGGGTTATATTCTTCCCCGTTAGCTTAAAAATACAACACGGGTATTTATTAATAGTAAGTTAATCAAAATGTGCGTGTTATGTACAGCCAAGTTATGAGAAAAAGCCCGATTTAACGATTGAAAATTGACTTTTTGGATCCGGCTTTTAAGTTTCCGTAGTCAAGTTGGACAGAAAAGAAAATTCTAACGATACATACACGGTTATTATTCGCCATCTCCCCTCCCACTGAAAATTCCCGGGCACGCCACTGGAGACGTCGAGTATGCGCGGTCCAATGGATCGGCTTAGTAAACGCAAACATAATAAATATATTTTCTACACATTCAGATCATTTCCAAAAATTATATTAATAATTCGACTTGTGTGTATATAACCTATAGGGGTACAGTTTTAATTTTTTTTTTTTTTCATCGCGTCTATTTTCTTCGGACGAGAAACAGAACAATATGATAATATTTCAAATTATAAGGAACTTTTTTATTAGAGCGTGGTGAAATGTAAACGTACGGTTGTACCATATTATGACTTATATGATAAGCCCGCTCTATCTCCTAATTGTCTGTTATCTTTTTACCGCTTTCATTATTTTCCGATAACTCTGGTGTTAAGTCGAGTACTTAGAAGTCCATCATGCTAGGTGCGTTTATAAAACGAAAACAGTCATCGGGACTTATCGCGTTAAAAACCACAAAAAAAAACCTAATAAAATTGTAGGTACGTATTATAAAAAAAAAAAAAAATTATTTTTACGTTAATCATTTTTATAGTGTTAAACAATGTTGTATTCGTATTAAGTTACAGCAGTAAAATTGGGGTGGTGGGAAATTTTAAACCCTTTTAGAGTTTTGCTTTTTTAAATATTTTTCAACGTTTTTGATCGTAAAATATTTTTTGTGAATTTTATGTAAAACGACTCGCTAACCCTATTAGTGGTCAACGACTAATAGGTACGTAGCACGCAAACTGATTGCTTTTTGATGACAATTTATTTACACATGTGCGTTTTATTTTTAAACATTGAACGCTACGTAAAAAACACATTATGTAACGTACATAGGAACCGATATAATTTTAAATGACTTAAAAAACATGAAAACGTGGGAAAAAAATATGGAAGAGTTTTTTTTTTCACCGTAATTCAGATAATAATGATTTAGTTATTTGTACAGGCATTTGGTATTTTCGAGTTTGTTTTTTTTAGTTTTATTTGGTTTTACGCGTGCAAACAAAACGGTTTTTTTTGTGCATTACTCGCAGTGATAATAACTGCAAATATTTATAATTCATTTAATATTTTCATGTTTTCGTGAAATACCAAAAATATAACTTTTTATTTTATTCTTTTGAAAACGTTGACGTGTCAACATTCATATTTTCGTTGCCTAAATACATGGGCCACGACAACTACAACGAATTACCATACCCGTATCTCTTGGAACACTGATAAGGTCTGGATAACATATCCGATATCCGTATCTTTGTTATCTATATTTCCCTCCCCCCGCCCGCAACCCGTCCTGTTTTACCCGTGCGGTTATTTTTGTAAATCTCTGTCGGGCGTCGGCGGCCTTATCTCTGCGGCTTATGCCATGACTAACTGATGGCCATTGGCCGTCGCCTTTGTATTTCAGTTCCATGACCACGGGGGCCCAAGGCCCGTAGATAATGAACTTCGATATCTTAATCTTCAACCGCGCTTACCGCGCGCCGTCGGCCGGCCGCTCGCTGACGTCACGTGACCGCGATCGGTGCGCGTCACGGCTGCCGCGCTGACCCGGTCGCGCACGTTGCCGGTACGCGGCCTAACCCGGCCCCCGGCGCAAAACGGTTAGACGGCTCTGCCAACCTCAGTATCCTCGTCCACGGTCCATACGGCCGGTCGCGTGTTGTGCACGTTCCGCGGACCGCAACAACAGTCCAATTGTCCGTCCGCCCGTCCGCGGCGTTGTTGTTTTCGTTGGCTTCCCTCCGGTCGTTGCCCGCGCGACGTTCGGTAATTCGATTACGTCCGAGACGTTCGGTCGGCCCCGCGACGCGCGTGTACGCATCGTCGTTTCGTTTTTCCGGACTCGCGTCGGCCATGTTCAGCGTCGAGGTCGTGGACACGGCTTTCCGCGACGCGTTGATCCAGGACAAGGACGTGGACATCAAACACTACGTGTCCGCCTACCGGGAACTCTGCAAGTAATACCCCACGCGCGACGTAATATTTTCCCGGCACATTGTAGGAATTATTAGTTGGAAATGCAGACGGAAACAGTGAGTGAAACCGCCCAAATGATGAACGTTAGTGAAAAATTGATCACCCGCATTTTCCCGCGTCACCCGTTCGTCCCCGTCGCGTTTCCCAATCGAGTCTGACGTAGGTACTTGCTCACCTACAGGCGCATGGCCCGGGGGAGGAGGTCCGTGGTGCCAGGAATCTCTCACTCCCTCGAATTTCTTCTGTGTACAATTTTTTTATTTTTTTTTTTTTTCAAAACTATAGCCTGCTGACTTACCCGCCGTTCGTCTTTGATAATACGATTTGTTTTACTTCGATTGAATTTTATGCTAAACTGTGTTACGGTGTTACTTGACAGATTCTGTTCCCAACTGGGAACCCTGTTCGGTTTCGTAGTTAACGACATCCAAGAGAAAATCGGACGTTTAAACGATCTGATGGACCAAGACGAACCGCACTACTCGACCGTACAAAGCATGATACTCTTCGAAAAATGCAACGCCACACTGATGGACAATTCGGGGTGTATAACATTGTTGAGACTGCACCGCGGACTCGGTAACGTGCCTCTGAAAATATTGAAGTTTGATAATAAAATTAACTTTTCAGTCGGCACTCATCGTCACTCATAACCGGATTTTTTTGTATTAACCGTTTTCAGAATTCATCATTCTGTTTATGTCCAAACTAATTGATCTCCAACCAACAGAAAGTACCACGTACATTGCTCAAGGTGCATACTCACAAACGTTGGCAAAACATCACTCGTTTTGGATACGTCACGGAGCTTATTTGGCCATGAATTTTTTACCGTGTCAAAAAAACTTATACCTACAAGTGAGTACCTACCTTCGAACTTATTTATTATAATATGTCGCTGATAAATTTAGGTCTACTGTGAACATTCAATAACAGTATTAATATTGTAAAATATGTATATCTACTTTTTAAACAATTTTTAATTGTCTCCATACTATTTTGTCATTTTTTCAGTAATTTATTACTATAACAAAGTCAAGTTTTATACAATGCAATCAAAGTTTCATTATTGTAGCAACAATAATATATTAATTTAATTCACTTCTTTACAATCAACACGAATAATTATAAAATAATTTTAGACATACTATATACCAATAACATATATTACTCATTTTTTTTTTAGTTATTCAAATAATAAATATATTCTAAGGTAAATTATATTGTCAATTATTATTACTGTTGTTTTAAAACTGTTAAACAATTTTGTATTGCTAAAATATCAGTAAATATTTCATTTTTTAATAATACACTTAGTATAAAAATGTACATGTAAATAATTACTTTTAATTATAAGTGTTAATAATATAATATGAAAAAATTAAGATAATGATCAGTAAGTGTATAGTTATTATAGTTGTATTTTTATGTGGTTAAAAACACACCAATGTCAATGACTTGTTTATTTTGACCTCAGTATTTTAAAATGTATAGTTTATCAAATGTTGATAAAAAAAAAAAAAATAATATTTTCACTAATCAAACATTATACTATCAATTGATATATTTGTATGTTTTTTATTATTTAGACTGTTGGCGATGAAAATATTAAGGAAACATTGAATGCGATGCCTGACATGATTGCAAAGGCCACCGAGGTCCACAATAGATTGAACACTCTATTTTTAGATTTTGAAATTTTGAACTTGCCCTAAAAGCTGTAAGTTTACCGAACTGTTGTAATATTAACGGTAATACAATAATTGTATTATTGTAAAGAATGCTCCTTTTTTTGGTTTTTAATATTTGTATATTTTTCTTATATTATCCACATAAAATAAGTACTTATAAGTACTGAGTAGTACATACTGCAACACGGGTATTTGTGTTATTCTTTTTAGAATATGGTAGTAAACAAATTTGGTTAAATCTTATGTCAAAGTAATTAAAATATATATTTTAAACTCAAATTCATTATTGTTATAATTCTTACGACATTTAACTATATATTTTAAATTTGTAATTTTTTATGTTTGTTATTAAAAATTGTATTTTCGAATAATAATAAAAAGTGTTTGTTTATTAAATTTCACTTCCTTGATACACAAGTACTTATTTGCGGATAAGTACTACAAAGCGACCTAAAGTTTGAAGTATTAAATATTATGTAAAATAGTCTATAACGCTGTTGGTTTTTTAAAATAGACAAAATTAAAAACAACACTCCTCAGGTACCTATATCTCAAGTGTATAACAACTACTTTATTGTTTTGTTTTAGCTCAACTTACATTCTTTAAAAACATAAAAAAAACCGAACATAGACTCAACATTTAACATATTATGTAATTAATCTTTTTTACTTAATATTTTTTTCTTATTATATAGTAACATGTGTAGTTTTATTTTTATAATCTCTTTTAATAACTTTGTTAAAAAATTAATAGGTATTTATTTATTTATAGTTAATTGATTTAAGGATTTTGACTGAAGTTTTTGCAATATTAAATTTGTAAATATATTAAAAGAACTGTTATCTAATTAATAAATATATATTGACTCAATCTTCAGAAGACTGATCAACATGTATTTTTTATTAGAATTTTTTTCGCTTAATAAATACAAAGTATTTTCGTCTAATGTTAGTGCTAAGATATTTTGTAACTATGGTTTGTAATACTAAACCTAATAGACAATATCATTGATTTATACATAAATTACATAACTTAGTTCATTATACTTAGTCTATAAGTGGCTGTAATATGTTTGTGTTTGTAAATTAAGAAGCATAGATAGAACGGACTCTGGTATCGGTATAATGAATAGAATTTACCTTATTCTTATCTACATTTTTTTTTTTTAACTCAAAAATCTATAACACAAGTCATAGTAGAACATCATAGTCCTAGTATTGAAAATAAATTTAAAACGACTTAAATTACACATAAATGATTTTTAAGCTCTTCTAAACAATTTAGTTTTTAGCAATTGCACCAAATAGCCTTCTGACGGTTGATTAATAAGTATCACAATATTATTGTAAAATTAACAGTGTCGATTAATATTCATTTATTGTACCTATAGCCTTATAACCTTAAATTAAGCAAACCGTTGTGGTTCTCTTACTGCTACCATTTTAGTTTTATGAACACGTATAATTATAATGTCAAATGGTACCCAACAATGGAAAAGTTGAGAACTACTGGAGGTTATAATATGGCCCAAAACTCGAATTGTATACACTAGGTATTTATTTTTTTTTTTGATCAAATTTTTTTCTGATGGTACATTACCTACATTATAATTTTTTATTTTATTTTGCAAAACAGGCTGTGGCCCAAATACAGAAAAACTTACTTGCTAGCTTACAGATAAATATATAATTACATAATCAGATTAACAGTACTACAAGATTACAATATTAATTAAACAAAAATGACGAGTCATTGTTGGCAATGTGTATCGTCCTAGCTATTGGTTGGTTACGCGAGCAGTTAGTGGTGAAGTGTTTAATGGCGAAAGGATACGATGATTATAGGTAAGGCGTTCTAAAACAAACCTCGCTTATTAATGTAAGACAATCTATCATTCCCTCAGTAAGAATCCTTAAGAACAGTTGGTTAGCAATTCTTCGCCTACCTGCCAGAAATTGCAGACCTAGAGCGTTCAACACCGAATCAATATTATAGAGTTGAGTTATAATGAAAAAAAATCAAGAACTTGTGAGTGTGTAAAAAATAAACTAACAAATTTAAATTTAAAAAAATATATAACATAATAGACCCAGAGATAACATTTGTATTATAATACAGTAACATAATGAAGGCAATGTCTATGGTGTTTTTTGAAATATTGAATTAATATTAAAACAAGTTGATTAAAACACTTAACAAGGATACCATAGATGTTATCCCCAAAAAACAATCTAGAAAACTAGGTATACTAGATGGTCTTATCTGTAGTTCTATTAGTACAATTATAGGTATCATATAAATGTTATCTTTTAAACAAAGAAACTGAGATTTAATTTATTTTATTTGACAATTCAACTAATAAAACAATAAAAAATACTGTCAGGTTTGTGTAAGAGGTAGTTATAAACAAATTATATTGTTTGTGTACTTACTGAGCTTGCGCAAACGATAAATAGATGATTGTAAAATACTTACTATTATTTTCCAAACAAATATTTATTTTTACATTATATTATTATAATATTTTATTTTTTTATTTTTATTATTCGTTTCTATAACATCGGCTGAAAATATTGACAATTCCAAAAGAGTGGTCAAATATATACTTTTATAGTTTTTGGTTACATCCGGAAAATCTAATAATTATCGGTAGGTACTTGATTTGATTTGATACTTCATAATATAAAATATATTTTATTCAGATACCTACTTATTAATATTATATAAAAATAGTACTTGTTTATTCTAATAAATAAATTGTTTTTTTGGGTTTAACAATTTTTTTTATATTTTAAATCATTGTTTATTATTAAACTTAGTGGTCTACACAAGAATAAAAAAAAAATATATCCATCTGCATTGATGTTTATTGTTATTATGTCCTCACGATAATTTCATAAAATTACAGATGTAAAAAAAATTGTATTTAGTGGTGGTTGTAAATTGCATACTCTGTGCATACATATTTGATTTGTGTATAATGTTTATAATGATTAGTAAAATAGATAAAAAATATTAATTGTAGTTAATAGGTAAATAATTATAAGTAAATATTTCATTATGTTAAATTTAATGTAATATGTGTGTTGATAGCTTAATTGCATATTTTAGATTATGAGCGGAGCGAGAAATGTATTGGTTTTCAATGATGTTTTTTTTTTTTATTTTTTTCTGTGGACAACTTTTCTATCAATAATTTTGATCTGATTTTTAATTATTTCACTTTTTCTGAAAAGAAATCTGATTAGGACAGTACTATAAAGAGCTATTTGTTTATTTTCCCATGATTTTTCCCTGTAAATGGAAAAAAAATGGAAAATGGGTACAATATTAAACAAATATATAATGAATAATATGTAACTATTTTACCATTTACTTTAGTGAAGTTATTTTTTGATTTTCTAAGCAGTTTTCATAATATCTGGGTAAACCTGGGATAAAATATAAAAAAAACGAAATAATTTATTAAAATAATGCTATTATAATTTTCAATTTTATTTTTTGTTGCAATTCAGTCTCAAATATTCTTAAAAATTTGAAATCTGGACGGAAAACATATGTGTCTTTTCTAGATGTGATAAAATTTTTGAAACTTGTAAGGCATTTTTTTATTTTTTTGCAGTGGCGTTACTGATTTCATAGATTTTAATTTGTGTTTTCTACCAGAAATATAGCTCCAATAGAAAAACATCTATATGATACACATCTACAATAATTAATAATTTATACTTAAATAAAAAATTATAAATACACAAAATATAAAAAATTCATACTTTATTGATATTTTAATAATTAGGGACACAAATTAAAAACTTTAATTTCAATGTATTGTTAAAAAAAAGTACTGTGTATTGAATTAAATTGTAAAATGAATAACAAAATAAATTCAAATTAAAAAAAATGCATAAATAGTATGCTTAAGGCACAAAAATAATTTTTGTTGCTGAAAAGTACCCATGTGGTTGATGAGAAACGTTCATAATTTCCTGAAAAATAAAAATTACATTGATATTATTTTTAGATTCAGAGCATAGCAAGGATTGTAATGGTTTTACTATAATATTTATTGTTAGATTCTGAGTGTAGCAAATATGTATTAGTGGTTTTACATTATGTTTTTTTTATTTTTTTTTTATACTGTGACAAATATTTCTATCAGACATGTGTTGCTTTGATGTGCAAGTATGGCATCATTTCTGAAAAGCAATATTGTGTAGATAATACTTAAAACTGGCCATTTTTTGATTTTCATAGTATCTCGGATAAAATGTAAGAAAAACAAGAAATTTATGAAAATATGGCTTTCATTATTTTTGTTGTAATTCAATTCAAAATATTTGTAAACCTAAAATTTGGATAGAAAACTTATATTCGTTTTTCTAGACTTGGACAAATTTTCACAAACTTCCAGCTATTTTTGAGCTATTTACTTAAATAGTAATAATTTTGTGAGTTTTATACATCATTTTTATTTAGTAGATAGTCTGTGGATAAAATTTTAAACTGAACTTAACAATTTAACAGGAAGTCCATTATAAGTAGTCATGCTTTGTAGTAAAAAAAAGGCTTAATGTAAAATTATTTTCTATAAAAATTGGTTTTACTAAGATGTTTATTTCTTTTTTAATATCAAATCATGACAGAACTCATAAGAATTATAGCTTTTTAAAACATCTATAATCGAACTTCGCACCAAATCTTTTGTTTCGTTACCAGTGATTTATCATTGCGAACAAATATTTAAACTAAATTTCCTTCAAACCTTCCCAACTTCTCACTTAAAACAGTGACCAACCTATTGTGTGAAATATGTATATCAGTCTTTTTTTTTTATTATTATTATTTTATGGAAAGTAGCTATTGCATCATACATAGTTACAGACAGAAAAGACTAGGAAATTATTTTATCAGTTGTTTTATTAATGATAAAAAAAAATAATATACAATTTAAAGAGTTAAATTCAAATGTAAAATTGATTCATTATTAATGTGTTTATTGTTTAATTAAGTTTTCTAAAATACCTTTAAATAAATATATCGTACACAATTATCTTTTTTAATAGAATATTTTAAAAATTAAAGTTTATTTTATTTTAGCGTGCCGGCTTTTATTGAATTTGTGTTTATTTATCTTTTTTGAGACCATATAAAAATATATTTCAGTCCATCAAGTACCCACATCTCAAAATAAACTTGATAAGTTTATGAAAAAAATGGTCACTGTTAGTTAATGTTAAATCAACCTTCTTTGGTCAATGGTTATTTTCAGATTTAAAAAAAATGTTTTGACTCACAGCGTTTAGCTTTAGCTTCGGCGGCCTCTGAAGCTCCAACAAAGGTTCTTTGTAATTTCCCTTTGCGGCTTTCTCTCAACTCATCAGCTAAACCTACTGCTAAACTTTCTACAAGATCCATTGTTTTCTTAGGATACCTTAAAAATAAAATAAAAAAATAACAGTTAAATTGAAAACATCGTCAGTAAACTACAGACCACGATTAATAGTTTTATCATGTCTTACTTGCATCCCAAAAACTCTATGTTAAAAAAAACTTGTGCCAAAGATACCAGGCGATCTTCTGGGAATTTGTCTTTGTGCGCAATTAAAAACCGACGCCTAAACAGCCAGTGTTCTTCATTTTCATGTTCAGACTTGTATTGATCGACATCCCAAGTCGTGTCAAAACTCATTTTTATATCAGTACCTGTAAATCGCAAAAACTTTGTTAATTACAGTAACCATAAAAATGTATAAAAAAAAATTTGGCATTACAATTTTGTTTTTATATATAATATCGATAAGGTTGATGAGAGCTCGGGCATTTTAAATTTCCACATAAAATAAATAACGACAGTCGATTGTTTAATTATTAAATATGATAATTTGTTATAAACTAGTACGGAAAGGTCGGACCTGTTACTGGCGGCAATTTAAATCCACCATCATAATAATGATAAAATTTGGTTGATTTGTGGCAAATACGACCGCGACTTGTACGGTAGTAATATGCATTTGCATGATTATTTTCCCATACAGGAAAACATGCTAATCGAGGTACACGCCGATATCTTAACGGTAATAACAGAAATGTAGAGTTGAATGGTGCCTATTTTGGATATTATAGCAACTGATAAATTTTTCTGAGTCGTTAGCACGTACCTATTCATATAGATTCTGTGAATTATTATTTTCCGACTTTTTGTTTGTTTTATAGCAGAGCACCACAAAACCATAATGTAATTGCTGATGTTATTGCTACCAATATCACCGCATAGCCGATAAACTTGCGCACGTGTTTATGCAATTTTCAATTTATTCTAATAATAAAATACAACACAACTTTAAAAAATGAATTTTTTTTTTTTTATATATATATATAGTAAATATATGTAGATACTGAATCGTTTTGGAAAACTATATTTTTTTCTTTTTTTATGTTCGTATTCCAAGTGCATATTCTGTAAGTTTTCATTCTACACGCGCTTGCTTGTTTACACGTTTTTTTGCGCATGAACCGTAAGTGCCGTGCTTATCATCAACACAATTATTTTAATTTATCAAATTTACCGACGTTAGTTGTAACAATGGTAAGTACCGAAACACGCACATACTTCATAGTTCATTTTTTGTAGCCTCGGACGCCGTGGTCTATATTAACCAACACATTTGGTAGGTATTCGACGTACCCGAATGCATTGTTGTTAAGTTTATATTTTGTATTGACTAAAATGTATAAAATAGACATACTCACGTAGTGACCGGTGAAACTGTACGCTGTAAACGATAGTCTGTACTATACTTCGTACATCTAAGGGTACTGCGAATTGCAATGTCCGGATGTCGTTGAAACCGGCAACAATGATTTGAAAATCATAAAAATCCAAACAAAATTATAAAACGCACATGAGCGGTTATCACTGTCAACAAACCAATGCAGCAGGTAAACACGACGCTGTATTAAATCGTTATCAACTGCGCGTCCCACTTTGGTAGGTCTGAAAATTATGCGACAAATAATGATAAGGATAAATGATAACGACAACCACACTGTCATTGATAATAATATTCAAAAACAGGTTTACGGACGCGATTCAATTTCATTTGTATGCATAAATTGTCGTCTAATCATTATCGTCCGTGTGGTTTTTTAGTCAGTAGATTACGAACGGAACGACAAAAATTCCAGAAAAATAATTTGTCGAATATAACCGTGTTGTGCATTCTGTCAAGCAGCGCTCGCATCGATAACATTTTAGTTGCAAAGTGTCCCAAATGCCACAAGGCTATCTGTGTGTTCTGAAATCGAATTGTCCAGAGCGGCGGTTCCTAATCCATTTTACGGCCCCCTTGTAGCTTTTCGAAAAATCTCTCGCCCCCTTCCCCTTTTAACGAACACGATGAGCAGAAAAAAGGTCATCAAGATGTACATGCAAACTTATCGAAAAGCACGTTGTCGCCTCTACCTAAATCATCGGCCTTGCTCGTAATCTTTACATCTTTATCAATACCCAATCCCCGCTCATCATTATTAAACGTTTATTTGTCCCCTTTATTGCAAAACGCAAACAATTTAATAAATACAAATTACAAATTTTACTTCGTGTTGACCGCTTGCGCCCACCCAGCAACGTGTACACTCCCACCCCTGTTGAAAAACACCGGTTTAATGCGATAAATTGTGGAATTTGGAAAATACATTAGATTTGTTGCATTTTTTTTCTCCGTCACCATTTGCAATGCTACACTTGCCGTCTAATTTGATGGGCTTAAGTTGGTCAAATTAAATTACCCTTTATCTTTATACATACGGATAATATAAAATATAATATACTTATCATAACAAAGTTTTTTTTTTTTTTTTATCGATATTAAGAAGTTATAAGTTCGTTACCGTTTAAACTAATTTAATTTAAACAAGTTTAAAAAAAAAAAAAAGTAGGCTGACCTTTTAACATTGCTTATATCATCACTGAGTGTACGGAAAATGAAGATTTTACGTGCCATGTCATTTATTTCATATACACACCTAAACCCAATTGCAATTACTGTGGATCCACTGTTAACATTTAATTTAAGAATCTAATATAAAGGTACCCATAGCAAATTAATAAAAACATGAACGACAGTTATTATCGTATTATATATTTCTTTACAAAAGTAATGAATGCGTGTATAAATATAATGCTAATAATAATAACCACTTCGACACGTCACAGGGAATCGGTTTCGAAAAACATATTGGTCAGGGAGCACACGAGTTGCGTCCCGTAAAAGAAAAGGTACACGTGAATAATCGCGTTCCAAGCAACGATAAACCATTGCTTACGAAAAAACGATTCTGAGCGGAGTTCAGTTGATAGTGATGTTTCGCAAATAATATTTGTTTAGTGTTGTACCGATTTTCCTAATTTTCCTACGTTTTTCCCGGTTTTCCAATGTTTTATTCCGGTTTTTCACATTTGATTTGTTTGAAAATTTGAAAATTGACCGTTCTAAAGTATTTCCCCGATGAAATTTCCTATAAAAAAAAATTGCTATCATTAAATGTCGGAGCAAAATTGCTAGTAGGAAAAATGTTCACAGAAAAAAAGAAGGCCGTAATATATTTCAACTAATATCTACATTTTTTATATTTTTTCGTTTTTTTATTTTCGGTTTTTAAAATTTCACGAGGAAACTACTGAGAAAATCGAAAAACGACTTATTCAAAGTACCTCCTCACGCCGATTTCCTTTCAGAAAAGGCACTACACGTAGAGATCCGAATAAGTGTTCTGGTATAAAAGTGGTTGACAGGTAGAAAAAAAATAAAAAAAAAAAAAAAATGAACATATTTGTAAAACCACAAACGCTTCTTCGGTCCACCTTCGGAATCTCAGATTCGTACGGATTATCAAAACGGATTTCCGCGCCTGTTTCGAGCGTCTAGGACAGGCAAATTATGAATGCGGATGAAATGAAAAATCGATTTCCCCCGGTTCGACCGGTCGTACACGTTTCGGGAACACGGTTACGAATTTGCGCGAATTTTCCGTACCGGTTTCGAGCGCCCGATTTCCCCGACCTGCGGACGCCGGCGCAACACGCACCCCGCCGCATCCATAATCATGTACGGACATACCGCGAACGCCGTGCATCGAAATAGTTTGTCGCTCGTGTGTTTTCGATACCGGCGGTTAACGTACGCGCGCCGTTCGTGTCGAGTGGCACTCGCGGCGCCGCATTCGTCGAAGCGAACCGCGTTATCTCCGACGATAACGACGAAATAAACAATAATACAATCGGAGTGTTTCGCGCGCGTATCTGCGGTGCCGTGCACGGGCGACGGTCGCCACTCGATAGCCCGGCGGCGGTTCGACGGTACCGACCGAAACCGAAACCGCAAGCGAGAGGGGACCAAGGGGACCGAACGCGCGGCCGCGAGTGTCTGTCGGCCGTGTCGAGCGAAACAGTCAACGCGCGGCGCGAAATCGCAAGACATAAAAATGATCTGGTTGCTGTTTAAAAACTGCCGGAAGAAGAAAAACAACGGGTGCGCGGTCCAGGCGGACCCGTCCGGGACGTCCGCCCGGGAGAAAATCGTGCTGCGGGACGTCCTGGCCCGACTGGACGCGTTAAGGCCGGACGGCGGCGACGACAACGACGACGGCGGCGGCGGCGTGTACATAACCGACGGACACTTCGACGGCCTGTCCGTTTTGGGAATTCGCGGTTCCGGCCGATATTACGGGGCCGGGGCGGGCGAAGCGGCCGGCCGCATAACCGTCGTCGACGGTCCGGAAGACGGCGCGGAAGACGGCGCGGAAGACGGAGCCGACGAGGCCGCCACCGCCGCCGCGACCAGGAGCACCGCGAAGGTGTCCGATAAGCTGCTGCGGACCCTGCAGTGCCCGTTTACCTGGGCCGAGCTCGGTTGGGACGAGAACGCCGCGGGCCGCGTCCAAAGCAGACACGGCAGTTACAACACCGCGGCCATAGTCTCGTCCGCCGGGTTTTCGTTCGAAAAGTAATCGCCGTTAAAATACGACAATATCACCGGTCTCGTCTGTATTTCACGCTGGCCCCCTAAAGTCCCCTCCACCCACCCGCTAAAAAACCGCGGGGGCTGCGACCGTTTCTCCGAAAAACCACGGGTACGGGTTAACGTGTACAGCTGCGGCGGTCTACTATCAGTGACGCGAAACCCCGAAATCCCGGTTTAAGAACGTAGCGTGTCCCCCGCCCCGTTCGGTTGTACAGCGTGAGTTCCGTCTGATACGCGACCGCCGGTTTTTTAGCATCGACCGGTTCACCACCGGATCAAAGACGACGAAAATCCCCCGGACCGGACCGTATGGTTAGGACTAATGTCAAAAATCAACCTTTTATTAGAACACACCGCCAAGCGCCGGATAATCGGAATCGCTTTTGCGAACATTCCTATCTCGTTTTTACGGCCGTTTTCGAACCGATCAATTTCTGTATAAACGTAAAACGTTCTCTACGGCAGTGGAGTATTTGACGGGTGGGAGGTGATGGGGGGTGATTGCCGTGTATACACATACATATATAGGTACGACAGTTACGTGTCGCCGGAAAAGCGTCGTCGGACACGAAAATGAAAACGAAAACGCTCCGCGGTAACATCGAGTACAGCGCCGGCCCGATTGACTCCGGTGCAGAATTTCGCGGGTGCCCCCACACACATGTATTTTTACGTTTTCAGACGGATTCCACTTTGTTTTCGCGTAATTTTATGAACTTCAATGTCTTGTTAGAAATCTAAATTCGTACCCACGCGTAAACCGACGAAATCAAATGTGTATTTTTATATTGGACACGGGACGAGTACAGGGGGATGTACACCCGCTCAGGTACGAACGATATTTTTATTTTATCGAACACAATGACGTAAATACGGCGTAACAAGTGTGTTTTCCAACATCCTGTACAATTAAATGGTTTGTTTTTTTTTTTTTTTTATTTTCGTGCTTTTATCGATGCGAACCGGTCAAACTGTAGCTCGGAAAGAATCGGCGATACAACGACGCTGACAAAATATGTTTGAGCGCGTTTTCGAGCCAGTATAACATAAACGCGTACAGCCGCGTATAAATCGGCGCCGTGTTGATTTTCGTCCATGACGTCCCGTCCCGAGAAAACCGCACGGCCACACGGGTCGCACTTCGCGTACTATTGGGACGATATCAATGTGATTATTCATGGATAAAGTGATACACGTGGGACGCTTAATTTGCGGGGCCCGCTTGCCCCCCCCCCCCCTCCCCGCCTTAGGGCCGGCACTGGATAAACGTGATGGAATATAATAACCTAGAGTATAATAATTTTAGTGTCGCTCCTCCTCCTCCACCCGCCCCAACACTATAAAACCGAGTCGGACGCGCCACGCCACTGGTCCACGGGACACATGTGTAATTTTTTATTTTTGCTCGCAGATACGTCAGCGGTCTGATCGTGTGTTGCGGACTGTTTAAAGCGAACAAACCGGACCGGGCGTACGAACGGTTGACGGACATTTGGCGGTGGTTGGACAAACTGGACGACGCCAACGAACCGTTTTACCTGACCGTCAGGGACGGACTGAAACACGTCGTCATGTCCGCGTTGTGTCACGTGCTGTACGCGACGAACAAAACGCAATGCCAACAGGTGGGTACGGTCTTGTCAGCGAGGGCGCACATCCGTCGAAACCCGAGGGTGTGACAATCGTAAAAAAAATTTTAAAAAATAACTCGAAAACGAAGAATCGACTAAATCGCTTTTATTAAATGACGAAACAACAAGTATAAATTTGTCTACGTGAACCGCATAAACAGTGTGTTTCAAAACGAAAACTGTAAATTGCGTTTTTGCAAACTGATTTTTTCAACAGACTTTTTCGAGGCGCGGTCGATTTCGGGCGGTTTACGTTTGGGCGGGTTTGCAAAAAGTGCATCGTGTTCGGGCGGTTTTCCACGATGCGTTTGGCCTTACGTAATATTATATTTAAGCAAATTTAAATTATCAAAAAAAATAATAATAATAATAAAAACTACATTTTCTTTTTCGCCGTTTTTCGTATTTTATGGCGTATTATTATAGCATATTACAAGATTTGTCAGACGCATATTTCAGTCATTTTCAGTGCTACGAAATCCGAGTTGTCACTGATGTTATTCGCGAACGGAGTGAGTGAAAACGCCTGTAAAAAATTACCGCAAACGCGCGCGGTAAATTCAACGACGCGGTGTTGGTTAATGGAAAAATTATTATCAAAACGATTGAGTATTTTCCGAAAACAAAATGAGTTCACGCGTCTGTCTTTGTCTGACGGCAGATAAATGCGGACGAGATAACTACACTACACCTATTTCAGACGGCACTTAAAAATTAAAATGTGCAAATAAGACACATTGTTAAGAGCGTTAGTCGTTTGAAAAAAAAAAAATAATAATAATAATATATCTAACTATTCGTATAGATACGAAAATACTTACACTTAAAATATTATTCGAATACAGAGTGTCCCACGAAAATATACCTATTGCAATGTCTCCGGAGACAATATTAAGATAATATGATTCTGCGGGTTTTTTTTTTTTTTTTAATTTTAATATTACTCACACGGATGAAGACTACCGACATTTTTTTATTTTAATTAAATTCGTACGTTTTGGTAAAAAAATTCAAAAATAAACTTTGAATTTTATTATTTACGAACAATTTGTAGACAGCCATTTTATAGAGTTTATTCATTTGAATATGTTAACGTTTCAACTTCTTATTTTCATTAAATTCTCGATTTTTTTATCATTTTTTTTTTTTGAAGTTCGCAGAAAAGTATATCTATAATTGTACAGCAAGGTCAAATTTGCTAATTGTTTTTTATTATTATTACGGTTAGTTCACTGTAGCCTTTTTTTTTCTCTGAACTATGAAAAACGATTAAAAAATCACGAATTTAATGAGAATAGCAAATGCATCAAAATTTTCAGAAAAATAAACTCTATAAAATTGGAATTTGATTATCAATGGGTATATCTTCGTGGTACACCCTGTATAAGGTGTCGAAAATATGAAGTATAAATACATTATACGTGATAACTAATAATATACACTATACTATACTAATACTATTTGTATTATTCCACCGACTATTGTATACAGCTCGTGTGTTTTTTATCTGAATAAATGTTATTTAATAGGCTGACATTTACGTAAGTAAGTAACTGTTCTATATTATGTATACACACGATAGCAAATAAACGGTATACAAGTTCTCGAAAACTTCACACAAGTTCTTAATACTGTGAAAAGAAAAAAAATACCCGAGGTGTAGCAGTAGAGCTCTCGTCACTCAAGTGGAATTTGCTCCCATCTATTTTGAGTGAAACGATAAATAAACCAATTCAGCCATATTTACCCGTCGATGATATAAATGATATTTTGGAGATCGCGAATCAAATCCTACTCAACATCCCAGCGCTATCTTAGGTATTTATTTATTTATTTTATTTTTTTACAAGCTTGGTGAATAATCCAAAATTTCAAAAGCTTTTCAACAAGATCGAAACTAAGACCAAAGTGTTAAGTCTGGGAAACAAAGAAAAAGACAAAAATATCCTGTCAAGTTTCATGTCTTATTTAGTTTATTTACTACTTAATTTCAATTAAGGAAATTTGATTTCAATGAGAAAAACATACTTACGGCATTCTATAAATACTATAGGTAAATCAGTGACGTAAATATGGGAACGCGGTCGCATTAGGGCCCTACACAATCCAAGGGGCCTACGCGAAACCTCACTGTTTTATCTAAGTAATCAACAGCACCGAACTTAGAGCTCGCGAAGTAAAACTTTAACTATTGACTGCCGCTATTAACATTAACTACTTATCAGGTTGAAATGTAAAACTACAAAACCGGGAGCGCGCGCCTACACGCTGCTATTTGTGTAACACGGTGTATTCTATTGCACACACTATTGTTTTATAATATTTTTTAGCTATACGAGATGACAACGCGGTTCAATGCGATTGACTCGAAATCGCGGGCGGCCGTTTACGGTGTGCGCAGTGCGGTCGGCATCGAGTTCGGCGGCGACGCTTTACGCAAAGCGGTTCAGTACGCGACAAAAGCACGCGATCTGGACGCGGACACGGCCCACTGGAATTACTATCGCTCGGTGGCGATGACCGCTCACAGACAGTACCTGGACACGTGCAAGTCGAACCCTACCGTGGCCGAGTTCGACGCCATACAGCACGCGATCATATTGTCGACGGAACCGAACCCGTATTTCAATTTCCACAGAATGGTCCTGATGAAGAACAAAATACTGTACCATTACTATGTGAACAGTCGGCACAGCGTCGGCAGCGGCCGCGGCGACGACACCGACGACGACAACAACTGTGTTTACATAAATAAAAAAGAGTCCGACAAAATCAAACGCGATTTCGATAACATCATAGAACTGATCAAGTACAAATTTGTCCGTTAAATACTTGTGCGTTATATCTGGTCCTATGGGCAACAGTGGCTTTAGTCGATTTTTTTTTTTTTTTCGTCGTTTTTACGCATAATCTTGTCTTATGCGATTTCGATCGCTTTATTATTTGTTTGTCTGTCGATAATTGCATAAGCGTATGCATTTTCAAAATCGCATTTGCTTACAATCGAAACAATACAACATTGACTCTTGAGCCCTTTTTCCCCGACACCACTGATATAAATCGGTCGTCGTATTTCCAGTAGTTACTAACCAATATGCATACTTTGTGTAGGGCGATCGTCGTCGTGGAACCGGACGATCCACATTTGGTTGTAAAGTGCGCCGTTTCCCTGATGACGTTGCCGTATTTCAACCAGGACATCGTTCATCTCGTCAAACAAATCATATCGATTGCAATAAATATAGCCCCTAACGACCCGTCAGTAAATCAAGCGATTGAGAATAGCGTCGAGGTTTACGAAGAACTATACGATATTTACAAAGAACTGGAGCGTAAAGTACGTCCGTGTTAATAGTATAAATATTTATTGTATCAGATACAGTTTTTATGTATAGATATCTCGCGATTTAAAATTATTGTAATTTAATATTAGAATGAAAAGAAAGAGCTTTTGGAAAGTGTTAAAAATCAAAATCCGATTAAAATTGAAACGGAGATCAAAGAAGAAAACCAGGAGGATGATATTATTTTAGAAAATGATTTCAAGAGCATTGTAAAGAAACACAAGAAACGGGGCAGTGTGCCGTTAGAGGATTTAATCAATCTTTTAAATAAATTCGATGGACACAATGAATGGAAAATAATTGCCCAAATTTGTTCGTATTCGATAATTTTCGTAGATTCGTCGAATCTTCTAAACGGTGTAGAACAATTCATGATGTTAATTCGAGACAGGGACATCGCCAACAGCGATATTGTCAAGGTAAGCAAAAGATTAAAACTTTTACTAGTTTATTGGTTTTGTTTGTAAATTTTGGGACATGGTAATTTTACTGTTATGTCCCGTGTGATTTTGTTGTGTAAGAGGTGAGTAAGGTTTTTTTTTTTTTATTGCACACGTTTAAAGGAGAAACAAGTGTCGCCTGGTTTTCATAAACAATTCAACTAAGATGTTTATTTGTATTCATTTTTTTTTTATGTGAACACTTTTTCTACCAGAAAACTTACGCCAATTATCAAATATAGCACATTTTCTAGAAGAAAATATTATCTGGGTGGTATTTTTGAGAAGTCATTTTTTGAAATTATCATTAATATTCGAGATAATGAGGAAAACCTGATTCTTTTTTAGTAAAAAAAGATTAAAATATTAGAAATAAGGTTTTCATTGGCAACCGTTTTTAATTTATTTTTCATTAAGTTTTTATTATTTTAATATTTTTTAAACAATCATTGTTGCCACGGAAACGCACATTGTTGTTATTATTTTACCATAATATGACATATTATATATTGTTGACAAAGCAACACTATCTACTGAACTCCGTTTAGAATATTTTTTTCGTTATCAATGGTTTATTGTTGCTTACAGATATATATTAAATTCCCGTCTGTATCCTACCTTTCCAACTTCCCATCTACAGCATTGGCTGCACCCACGTGTAAAGTATAAGATACCCCAACTCATTTACGTGCTTAATGCGACACGCTATTTTATCTGGTTTTTAAGACAAACGTTATTTTTCAGAACCATAGATCGATATTTATAACAGATCCGTCCAAGGTGTTCAACTTGGCTGAATTGGTGTGCAACGAGATCAAATTGGCCATCATGTTTGGCCGCACGAAAAATCAAGACGAAACGCAATTTTATTTGGATAAGTTAACCGAGATTATGGAAGTGTGTCAACTTAAATCGAAAAAAGCCAACACTGCATTTGTATCTGACTTGATCGCGGCAGAGTGTACGAAGAAAGAACCGAAGCAACGGAACACTATCGACAAACCCACCACGTCACAAGGCTCCAACAAGAACAACAAACCGCGTCGCCCGAAACAGAATTTGAAAAACAATCATACTCGAACAATTAAACACAAAACAAAAGTATATAGGAATAAAAAGTCTTATACGAACATAGGATGATTTTTAAGAATGCTAATCCCATTTTTTAAACTTAAATAACAGATTTACTGAAATACAATTTTTTTTTTTTTTAAATGTGTATGCATTGTGTTTCGCGTGAAATAAACAAAAGCTTATATTGCTATAGAATATTCTGAGTATTGAAAAGTCTATTCTTTAATATAGTATTATAGAAAATACTATTTACATAGTATTTATGTATTGGTAAAGTATTTTTTTGTTTTTTAGACTTACAGGCCTTGAATGTCTTTTCGCAGCTTCCAATAAGTCTTTTCGTCGTTTTCGATCATCCGCAACATCGATTTCCATCGTTCCCAAATCTTTATTTGCTCTATTAATCTGTTTTATAATTTATTAAGACCTCATGTATTATCTGGTCCCACCAAACATGATTAGCCCACTCTAGCCTTTTAACTTGCAGGCAGTTTTGAATTTGGCCTATTAAAAATGTTTTCTATTTCTTCATTTTTTTCTCAATTTATTTTGGCAAAATCCCTATGACATTCCCTCCAAATATTGTTTTCTATAAATTTCAAAATAAGTACTCTAAAATCAAAATCAAGCTAATTTTACTTTTTCTGCGTAAGTATTGATTTCGCATGTTACCCGGTAGTTGGACTGAGACAGTAGATGCGGGTATAACGTCCTCTCAATGTGAGACCATATCTTCCATTTCATCGCCTTTCGTTGTTGTCTAAGTCACATAACCATATAGAAAAAGACGGACATACTTAAATCGACGGATGGGCCACTGTTGTAGGTGAGAAGTTGGGAAGGTAGGGGAATTTAATGTACATCTGTATGCAAAAATTAATCATTGCTAACAAAAAACGATTCTGAATTGTATGTACATTACATCATTTTTACAACAATTTTCCTTTTTTTTTGTGTTTCCCTAATTAGTTATTACTTCTTCTAAGGCTAAGTTGAAAAAATAGGAGACATCACGTCTCCTTGTCTTAATTTATTCTTGTTTCCCTTGAGTAACATAGTTCACAGAAAGTGTTCGAATTACAATTTCTAATCAATATTTAGAGTTTGCTTGGGAAACCGTAATTTTCAAATGTTATCCATAACACCAAACGCCTGCAGTAGATACATGGTATTATCGTGGACCATAGTTAATTCCTGTCAATTCTACTATACGACTAAGTATAGTACGTCTGTTTTACAAAATACGGAATTCGAATAAATCCACAATTTAATCATTACTATGGGGTGAACATACATTAAAAATCACTTTGAACATGCCACGATAAGCAGTACATATAAGAGTGAACTACAGTATAAACAATAATATTTTAAAATCTAAATATTATAATTGAATGAAATTTGTTTTAATGAGAAACTATAGTGTTTAATTAAACACGTTTTTTGTATATTAACTTATTCGTATACGAGTATCGCGTTCAATATAACGTCAATAGCCCGTTACAAATGCTCGTTATATTTTAAAATTTCGGATTTTAAATTATTATTATATACTAATGCATTTGATTAAAAGTTAAAATCGAGAAAATTTGTTCATATAATTCTAATAAATATTCACATACAAACCTACATGTACCTACTATTGTACAGTCGTATTTGCAATTACATATTATAAAGACTTACAGATACTAAAGTACGTATTACGTGTTATACGCGGAGAGTTAAAACAGCATTTTTCATTCATACAACATGTAGGTACCTAACCAGTAACTATTATACCTCCCGAGTGTCGTCTAGGTATGCCTAATACACAGATAAGAAAACTAACTTTCCGTCGCGTAAATACGCGATATTGTTCAGAATTTGTTTAATTTCTGCGCGCGCTATGTTCGTACAAGGATACTTATTATTAATGCAACGCGAACAACATGATAAACAAAATATTAAGTCACGCAACTGTTGCACTTTATATTATTCTGACAACTCTGGAAACGGATAGGTGTACAATGTTAAATTATGGGTTTGCGATTACGGCTACGAAACTCTATAAAATAACAATCTAGCTTCAAAGTAGCGTACAATGTGTTTTGTCCGTCGTAAAATAAAGCGATCATTCTCCAATAAGATTCCCACCATTTTTCTCCAGGTAAAGCGAACGTAGATCCGAATTTCTCTGCATCCATTGTCATATTTACGTAGGCGAATTCGCCCTACAATCAAAATGATAACAAAAATTAATGGAAAAGAGACCTAGAATTAAAAAAATCTATACCATTTATACAGAGTTACCATGGTAAAAACATGCTATCTTTTTTTTTTTTTTTTTTTAGTAAGTTGGAAAGTTTGAAATTCTCTTGTTTTTCATTGCAGCATAGCAATTTAGATCAATTTTCGTCCTATTGATAAAACGAAACGATAAAATAAATCTGAAAAAAAGCACAGATTTGAATACACTTAAGTGTACACGAGATCGGCTAGGCTACTTTTTAATTATCAGTGATTAATTTCCAAAAATATGATTTAAACATTTGTAAATTATTCATAAACAAATAATTTAATTTAAAAAGGTTGCCCAGCCTATCGTATGTGAACTTTATGCAGAATTAAAATCTGGTTTCAGAACCCGTTTCACTACACCGATTTAAAGGACACAAAATATGACTGATGGGAACATAATATGATGGACATGAAATTGGTTTAAATAACTATGCTGCGTACGTGTTAGACAACGGAAGATAAGGGAATTCTTCGTTACGAATCAATAATGCTGATTTAAATATTACACGTCTATTATGTGTAATATCAAAACATTAAAAAATACTTACGGATACCGGGCAATGTTTTATTGCTTGGGGTGAGTCTTTCAAAAAATACGTTAACAATCCTAATTTCGAACAAATATCGCTCATATCGTAGGATATAACATTTTGACAATCGACATAATGATCCTTGCATCTAAGTACACTGGCTTTTGCCTGCGCAAAAAAAAAATATTGCGTGATAATAATATTTATAGTTCACTCAAGGTCACTTCAAACTCTAAAAATTGAATATTATACTTACGTGAAATTGAGCAACTTCATCGCGTATAACGAATCGAAGAAACAACGCTTGTTTATTGTTGAATTGTTTAAATGTGCTTTCCAACAGTGTAGCGGCAGATTTATTCATGAATTGCACGTCAAATGTTGTAAAACGCATTTCGCGTTCCAACGACGGGAAAGTCAACAGCGGGATAGTCAACGTCTCCTATTGTGGGCATATAAGTATAATAATACACAATTTACATTTTTTATTCGACGTCATTTATCGATTTGATTTAGTCATATGACTTACGATCTGTTTGCAAATGCTAATTATCGAATAGACATAAGCGAAATAAATACGTTCCATTTTGCTAATTCAGTACTCTCACGCGAGCAATATTATTTAATTTACACACTTATAATAGAAAACGATTGGCCAAGAGAATTCGATATATCGAAATAGAAACGCGTATCGGCTAAGCGGTTTGTACCGAGAGGTACACGCACTTACTAAAAATAACGTTGTTCATTATTTTATACAAAAAATCAACGATTTTCACTGCCACCGAGAGATTACATTTTTTTTTTTTTTTTTACAAAACCTTGAAAATAATTGAATTTCATTGTAGTAATTTTGTGTTGGGCAAACAGATAACACATCGTTGTAAATTATTATAGATTACATGTTACACGATTTACCTGATGATGGTTACGCTTTTAATATTCATTGCGCTGGTCAATATAGTCGGACAGCGATATCAGACCGCCCCTCAAACAAATCGAGGGGAGTTTGGGACAATATTTAACTACCGTTTAGGATAGAAATCATTAATGGATCGATATTATTACACTGTTTCTTAATGCGGGATCTGAATTTTTGTCGGACTACTTTCTTTTTTTTGGGGGGGGGGCAGTCATTTAAACCTTTCACAATATGTTTAATGATAAATATAAATACCGAGTAATAAAAACTAACACACTATCGCTAATACGCGATAAACACAATCAAAGTTATGAAAATACTGATTTATAATAAATAATAATATTTAATATTTGATTAGACATTTGTTGATTTCATCGATAGTTCAATATTATTCATTTTGCGATTTTCCTAAATAGTTTTATTCTCCAGTATAATATTTTAATAATGCAATTCGTTAAATATCCATAGATTGATTGATTAGATACGTTTTGAATTAAACAATATAAATATTATTATAAATATTATAATATAAATATAATTGTTTAAATCAAATAGGCGAAATAATTCGGAAGTTTATGAAAATATTGTTTTAGTTTTGATAAACTAACGCTTTATCCGATGAAAACATATCCAAGTAAAAATGTACAATAGGAAAAATAAATCATCGTCTTCATAATATGCAGCCTTACAACTCTGTAAGCGTTTTGGTTGCCACAGTCAACGACCTCCAGTACTCCAAGATCCTGTATCGATCCTCTCTTCCCAATCCGTCATTTCTCTTTCCTCCAGATCTTGATGCACTCCATCCATCCATCGCTTCCTTGGCCTTCTTCCTGATTCGATAAACGCCCTAGCTTGATTTGGTGTTTTCTTTGCATTGTGTGTCCAAACCACTGGATTGTATAAAATACTTTGGCAATTTCCCTCATTTTCACGTTCTTCCATCTAATCCATATATTTATTATGCTATCAAACACTGTAGGTCCACGATTTGTTTTTAAATATTTTATGCTCAAAGTTTCTCAATTTTTGTTCAATTTGCACCGCCATCGGCCATATTTAACATCCATTAGGTTAATGTTGGTCTTATAATAGTCATGTGCCAATAGACATACATATAGAATTTGAAATATTTGATTTACGCAAAAAATATCCGTTCTGCTTTGAGTAAGCGGTTGGCTATTTCAGCATTCCAGTCATTTATATACCAGTGATTGTTACTCCTAAATATTTAAAGTTCTATGTTTTCGTAGTTCTCCATCGTAAAGTATTCCTCATCGCTATCGGTCAACGTTTTCATTTACTTTCGTCTTTTCTCGTTTATTTTTAGACCAATATTTTTTGCTTCATATATGAGTGTTTTTGTATTTTGCACTATGATTTCCTTATTCTCTTCAATTAGATTCAGATCGTCTGCGAATTCCAGCACATCAGACGTGATTTTGCCACTATTAATTACAAACTTATTACACTTTGTACTCTACATATCACTTTTTTCCAATACAATGTTGAACAATATTGGTGATTGTGCATCACCTTGGGTGAGCCTAGTCGTCCCTTCGAATTCTTTCAAAACTATGTAGTTCGCTCTTACTTGATAAGACGTGATCCCATTCATACACGTTTTTGTTAGTGATATTAGTTGTTTAGGGATCGAAATTCATACACTGTATTATACAAACTATCGCTATTGATACTATCCTATGCGTTTTTTTAAGTTCACAAACATTTGTAATATATTTTGTCTGTATTCGTATTTTTTTTCCATCGATTGTTCAACGCCTAGTTGTGAGTTTATATATTATTGACTTACCTTTCTGGAAACTATTCAAGTGCAATAATATCTAATCATTTATTATTATTTGCATTTTATTTGTTTATTGTTATATACTTATACATGCGAGGAAAATAAAAAGTGTTTTACGAACTGCGAGAATTGTCTGGACACGCCTATGCTATTTTATAGGGTTACTGTACAGGGAATGATTACTGGTAAATGATATTAGATATTAACGTAGCATACATACATTTTACATAATATTGTTACATTATATTAAATACGCAAATAGACCGAATGAAAAAAAATGCTTTATATTATATTGGTTGTATTATTCAATTTTATTACGAAGTGCACAGTGATGGTCATAATACTACTCAAACGTGAATAATAAGATGACAAACAGTTAATAAATATCAATATTTGCATTAGTGCGTCTGCTTCAGCACTTATAATATTGTTCTGAAAACTATTATTTCAGAAATAAGTAAATAATATTATATTGCTGGTGTACATTAGCAATTCTAGAAACGTATAGACACCTATAGTAACGTTACAATATAGGCTTACGATTACGGTTACGAAACTCTATAAAATAATTATCCAGCTTCCAAGTAGCGAACAATACGTTTTCTCCGGTGTAAAATAGAGCGGTCGTTCTCCAATAATATTCCCACCATCTTTCTCCCGGTAAACCAAACGTAGATCCAAACTTATCTGCGTCCATTGTCAGATTTTTGTAAGCGAATTCGCCCTAAAATCAAAAATATCGAACGTTATAGTGGACAGTGGACAACGGACACGCAATAAATATTTGACCGTGTCCTAATATTTTGTAGTTATAATAGGTATACAATACTTACTATTACCGGGCATCTTTTGATCGCCGAAGGCGAATCCTTTAAAAAATACATCAATAGACTTAATTTCTCACAAACGTTGCACATCTCGTAAGAAATAACATTTGTACAATCGACGTAATGATCCTTACATTTAAGCACGCCTATTTTAATCTAAACATGCGGAATATTATAATAATTTTCAGTAAGCTCATACATTGCGTATGGCAATTTCAATGTAATGCCTATTGGGTACCTATGGTTATCGTGGTTTGTAATTTAAAACTACGAGTAAACTTTTGTACGACGTTTATCTGACCAGTTTATAAATCAATTGAATTCACTGAAGTACGTAAACTATCATGTTGCAAAAGTTGCAATTGTAAACACACATATTTTGATTACGTGCCCATAACTACTTGTTGCATTATACTCACGTGGAATTGATTAACTTTCTCGTGTATGATAAACCGAAGAAACAATGCTTGTGTATTTTTAAACTGTTTAAATGAGGCTTCCAAAAGCGTGGCAGTAGATTTGTTCACAAAGTCTACTTCAAATGTCGTAAAACGCACTTCGCGATCCGAAAATCGCGTCGCGAAGATTGACGCCGTATCCTGTTTCACATTATGTCATTCAAATTTTTAAATCGATATAATTAATTGAACGAATCAGCGATCAGACTTACGACGACCTGTTGACCAAGGCCAAATATTAAATAGATACACACAAAATAAATACATTTCATCTTGCCAAGAGTGGATATTTGTCTGTCAAATTTCATTCAGGCTTAGGTACGAGGAAAATTATTGCGCAAGAAGCTGAACAATTATTAAGACCGAAACGTGTACCGGCGAAACAGCACACGCACATACTATTATTTAACGCGATCTCCATTACGTTCGTACAATAAGTCAACGTTTTTGATTGTCGAGAGTTATTGGCTTCCGTATTTTCATTGTTTACATAACAATTGCGTTTTTTCGGCAAACGGCAAAAACCGTAAATTTAATTAAACTTGATTATAGTAATTTGGTTTATTTTTTTCGGGCAAACAGATAACACACATTTTTTCGTAAATTAACGATCACGAATTATTGAAGTATAATTTACGGTTATAATATTTGATTTAAAAATTGTATGGTCCTGTTCAGCGGCGGACAACGATCGTGTTTTATTTTATCAGACAGCGGTATCAGACCGCCGGCGACGGAACGGATATGGTGGGAGGAGGGCAGAGAAAATTCTCGGTGGGCGACTACCTATTCGCTATTGAGATCGGAAGGACTGTACCGAAAGTATTTAGGCAATAATGTGTCCGAACGTTAGACTCCAGTAATCGATTGACCCGAATGTGAACACCCCGAATGTTAAAATACTGTGATATTTCCGAAATTTGAACTCCGAAACGTAAAATCGCAGAACGTACAAACCGTGATATTTTCGACCGTGAAATATAATATCTGAATGCATCATTGTGGACGGTATACGAGTGGATGGTTTATAAACTAATGTTAAGGCCTTTGCATGCTATAAACTATCTGCTCGGGCCGACAGAATAATTCGGTCAGGTCGTGCGTAAACCAGATCGTGTGTGTCGTCTGAATGAATTGTGCAATAGTCTGGGTTAAGGTATCGTATTCTACAGGCCCGTGCGCAAGGGCCTGACCCGGGGGCGGGTGAGGGTTCAAACTCCTCCTCCCCCCTCATTGCCGAAAAAATACGAACCGTGTTGTTTTTCATTTCTCATTTATTAAACTAAATATTTTATAATCGTATTCGTAATAAATAATAATGCATAAAATAATGGTACAACGCTATTATTGTGTTATCTTCGTGATTGCTGTCTATCGGCTTTCGTCATAGTCGTTATCGACAGAATCTAACCGCGACATCGCGTATTTTAAAATTTGTTCATAATCATATTGTAACACGTTAGTTATACACACACGCCGTTAGCAATAACATCGAAATGAACATTCGAAAGTTTTATAATATTTGCTTAATATTGATGTATCTATTTTATATATATATCTTTTTACAAACCCCCTCCCCCCATTATGAAATCCTGCGCACAGGCTTGATATTCTATACGCTTTATCATGACTTTTTTTGGTCCTAAAAAATGAATATCCTCAATATTCAAAAAGATAAACATGAGTGGAAACTTTAAAAACACACATCTAAAAAAAATTCCTTTATTTCAAAAAAAAAAAAAATATATATATATATATATATATATTTATTTAAACGAAAAATTAAAACTCTACAATAGATTCAGTATAACTGATGAACAAAACATTAATACAAATTGTTTGGTCATTTTAACCAATCTACTAACTCCATCCTTTTTTTTTTCGCGCAAAAACGTGGTTTATGTCTAGCACTATCTGTTTATGTTTGTGTGTTTAACATAGCTAAACCGTTTAGACGTGCTTCAGACCTAGTAGATCGCAAGTAATTTTTAACCTTCATATAAATTTGAGAAAAATCTCTCAGCTGTGGCTGTGGTAACTAACGTGGCGAAAATTTGAAAAAGTATTTTGATGTTGGGAAAAATTACTACAGCGTTCCAATGCTTCAGTTGCAACTTGTGGATTGTTTGTTTTGAATTTTGGCCTATTTATTTTTCGACAAATTTATTTCTGCTTTCAATTCTAAATCCGAATCGTCAAAGTTCATAGAAACATGCCCAAACTTCTGAAAAGGTGAATAATAAATACGAGCGTGTATAAGTATGGCATTTGTTTTAACCAGATAGCTAGATTAACTAGATAGGGGGGAGAAGGGTTACTAGGGCTAGAACCCTAACACCTCACCCCTGGACTCACGCCAGCGTACACTAGCGAGTGGAAATAAAATTTAACTGATCCATTCGAGCGATGGTCGTAGTCGTACCATGTGTATACTACAACTGATTTGGTCAGGCTCTCTATCGGTTCGATCGTATCATGTAGTATGTAGGGGCCTATATATATATATATATATATATGTGTGTGTGTGTGTGTAATAAAATTCTCAAAACAAGAGGGTGAACAATGAACATGATTAAAGAGCACAATGGAAGAAGATTAATTCATTTTTTTTTTTTTTTAAACGTTTAAGCAAAACTTCTCTACAGCCGAATGAACAACTTTTTTTGTTTTTAACCAGTAAGTATCTGCATTCAATATAATATGAATTCACCTTCAATATTACCTAAATCAGGGGCGTTCAAACCGAGGCCCGCTTGAGGCCCGCGGTAGATTTCAATATGATTCTTATTTCAATTTCAAATCGTGAAATAATTATATATAATATTATGAGAACAAAATTAGAAGAATTAAGAATATAAAACTACAAAATATCAAAAATTTAAAAAAAAAAAAACTCTAAATTGGTATTAACTAATAGTATGCACTATTAAATGAAAGTTTTATCTTTATGGGGATCTGATAGCCATAAAGAAACCAATGTAATTAAAATAACAATACATTTGTTTTAAAACTGTTTTTTTTTTTTTTTTTAATCATAAATAATAATGTTTTTTCTTGTTATTATAAATAAAATATAATAGCTCGTCAAATTACATCAAAACATCTTGTTTGTAATCTTGTTTATTTTAGGCAATAATCAGTACGGCTGGGCGATGTCGCAGTACATGCCCCACGGCGCCTTCCAGCGGGTCGAGCCCACATTAGACGGGCTTGAAGATTCAGACGACGCTTCGGCGATGTTCAAACGTTGGGCAACCTACAACGAGTATCTGTGTGCTGTATCGCTGGAGAACAAAATCATACATTTTTGCAAAACCAATTTTTATCGGTTTTGCTGTGCTGGACATCTCCAAGACCAAAATGTACGACCGTCATTACAATGTGATGGCGTGTACTGCGGACATCGCCCAACCGTACCGACTGTTACCTAAAATAAACAGAAAAATACAAATAATTATAAACATTCGACGTTCTATTCGCGGGCGTAATACATAGTAATAACATGTAAATCTATTTAATATAATATTACAGTTGAAATTATACAAAAAATGTATATGTTTTTTTTGTTACACGTTTAATCAAATGATTATAAAATCATACCTATACTTACTAAATACTAACACATAAAATACCGACTAATTAAATAATACCCAGAGTGGCGGATTTACGGGGAAGGGAGGGACCTCCCCAGACACCAATATAACTTCAATAAAATATCATCCGAAAGAGAGCTGACTATTGCTATATCTTTTAAATCTTTTTCTAGGAAAATATTGAAAACCCGCTACTAACAAGGTTAGGTTTCTAAACAAACAGACATGGTTACTATTATTTTAGATCAAGGATCAAGTACGGCTCCCGAACTGTACAAAATAAAACTCTATCCTGAAAGTAGCGTACAACATTGTAACCAGACGCGTTGATTCTCCAATATTTCTCCCACCATTTTTCAGTCGGAAAACTGAATTCAGACGCAAACTTGTCGGCATCGACCGTGATATTTTTGCAAGTATATTTACCCTGAAAACAAAAGGTTAAACAATATTTAGTAAAAAAAAAAGTTGGAAAAGTAGGATTTGAATCGATATAATATTATCATTGCTACGATTCTGAGAGTAGTTCGGTTGACATGTTTTGAAAAACTTAAACAGAAATTTGCATTGAAAATTGTCCTGGTTATTTTGTCTCAATTATCGAGCATTTTTAGGAAACCTAAAAAAGTTTTATTCAAAACAAATCCGATAACAGTTTGCGAAATGCCGTGATTTTTACGATTTAAACTCATTAAAATTTAAAGTATTTAAACGCAAATAAAAGTATGAAAACCGTGACTACGTTTATTTGATATATTTTGTAGTGCCACAAGAACAGATTATCTCGTATCAAATTTCGAATTCAGACCTTCTGAAAAACTTTTTTCGTCAAATTATTTTTATTTGAAAATACGAACTTGGGTCTTAAAGCCACCCCTGCTGTTTCGAAATGGTAGGTACCCGCGCGATTACATTCAGTATTGAAACTATAAAATCAGCTATTTTATTGATTATTAATATTTACGGGTACCCACTCGCGTGAAATTCATACACGGTATCGAGCGAAACTACGAAACGAAGAAACAACACTCGTTTGTTACGGGATTGTTTGAAAGCGCATTCCAAAATTGTTAAGTTAGAGTTATTTTTCAATTGAACGTCGAATTTGGTAAAACGCAATTCGCGTTTTAACGATGATCGTCAACGGCCCCGGCTCCTTGCATCTGTATTAAATTTACGAAATGATACGACTGGTTATCAAGTCGATTTTTTTAAATTTAATTTACACGTTCGTTATAGTAGGTAGGCATAAGTAACTTACGGTCTGCCGAGTATTAACAAAATAAATCGCATAACAAAAGGTACACTCAAAGTAAAAAAAAAAAAAAAAAAAAAAACCAATTTTTCTAATTAAATTATTTACTCGCGCGATATTGAAATGTTATTATAATGTGTGCGCGTCAAAAAAATGATTGTTTTCGGCAAGTCGATCATGGTAAATATCTGAATGCGTACGGACATACAAATGAGTGCGCTTATGCGTAATACCCATTTGTTTTGTCTGTGCGTTATAACGTACAATACCCGCGCATGTTAATTAAAAATGAATAGTTAGGTACCCAACCCGCTTCGGTTGTTCTGTCCCGGCAACGATAGCATCGAATCGGCTCATACCGCATTGCAAAATATTAATATAATTCACGGCGATTTCCGATCGTATGATTAACAACGTTTTTTTTCCGGTATACCGCCGTTTTTAAAAATCGGAAACTGTTGTGTTATTATTTGGTTTTTTCGCGTAGTCAAATTAATTTATAATTTTTTTTTTTTTTTTTGATTCTGAGCTTAGCCAATATATGCATTGGATTTATTATGACGTGTGTGTGTGTGTGTGTGTGGTTTTTTCGTCCGTCTGTTAACAACGTTTCTACCGAAAATATTGCTCCGATTATGGACCGAGCACAAAACGGCCTCCCAAAACCTTCGGTAAAATTGACCGAATTGACTCAACTGTCAATACTTAGCAGCTGTTATCAATCGAGCAGCCTGTGGAGAAGATTTTTTTGGCGGTTTTAATTTTACAAGTGTAAAGCGGCACTGTTTCCCGGAAATTCGCACATTTGTTTTTTGTACGATATATCTTTAATCGTATTTTAGATTCTGAGTGGACCGAGGAATGATTGGTTTTATATAATGATGTTTTTTTTTTTTTTTTTATCTGTGAACAACTTTTTTACTTGCAATTTTTTTTTCCTATTTTAAATTTTAATACATTTTCTGAAAGTAAATCTGATTAGGACGATACTTTAGGGAGATTATTTTTGATTTGCCCAGCTTTTTCATAATAAATGGGAAAAACACGGAAAAAACATAGGAAAAACGGGAAAATAGATACAATATTAACCAAATATCATTAAAGAAAATATGTAAAGCATATGTAATTATTTCACCATAATATGGTATACATATTGTTGCTAAAAAAACACTATTAATCGAACTCCGTTCAGAATCGTTTTTCGTTAGCAATGGTCAATCGTTTCGTACAGATATAGGTATATTAATTTTCCCCTCTACCTTCCGAAATTCTACCACCTACAACAGTGGCCCACCCATCGTGCAAAGTGTGTCCGTTTTTTTTAAACATAAATTCGAAACGTCGACTCACGACAGTAGCGCAATCGCGTTCTGCAGGCTGCCGCGACTTATACTAATTTCTATTATAGATACAACTGTTGTTATTATCCAGAACATTACAGACGTACAAATCATCCCCCGTTTTGCGTAAAAATAAACAATGGCGTTGCTATGGTTCTAAAAACTTCAATGTTCAGCCGTGATCACCCCGGGAGTTTGATCGATCCTGTTTACAATTACATTTCACCTGCACCTACTATACGGCAAGGTTTACATCTCAAAAACCGTAGGTTAATATAAGTTGTAGCTATTGAGTTTTGTTTTCTCTGCAGTGGTTAATCGGTCGAAAAAATGGCGCCTAAGAAGAATAAAAAAGGTAATAAATTGGCCCGAATGAGCGATGAGGAAAAATTGCGGTATTTACAGCACCGGGCAGCGGTAGAGGAAGAGACGAGACGTAGGAAGGAACATTTAGTTGCTACGTACTTGAAGGTAAAATTTGCACAACTAATTTTCCGTGTCTAATATAACGATTTCGTCTGGATATACGTATTTCTAGAACAAGTTGAAAAAAGAAGAAGCTTTTACTCGGCTGAACACAGCCAAACTAAACCAGCAATGGCGACACAATTTGCGGCAGATCAAGTGCAAGGAACTAAAAGACGAAATGATGGTAAACGCTGTTTATAAATCTTCGCTGTAAACATTTCTTTGGATATAATATACAATTGTGTGTGTCTAGACGATGGAAAACCGTTTCGAAATTTTATTGGATTGTAAGAACAACTATATAGACGTGTTGTTAAAAGATTTAGAGGACGCTGAAGAACAGAATCTAAAACAATATGGGGCACACGCTGAAATAATATTCCAATTCTTAGGTAAGTATTAGGCATTGTTACCTGACGACTTCCATCATGAATGCAATTTTTCGTTTCGCAATGCCACTAATTCTTTAAATTTCATACTTACACGTTTATTTATCTCCTATACATTATAGCGATAGTGTAGATTTAGACGCCCCGACACCCGTCGTTCAAGAAATTTATATTATTGTAATATACCGTGTACGGGTAGGCATTTCGAAATTGAATATTTTTATGATGCAATAACCAAACAGTTTTAATTTTCGAACCTTTCAGGAGATAAAAATATATATATATTCAAAATAACATTATTTTCGTAATAAAATTGATTTCAAAATCAATTCAATTGTAATCGATTTTTTTTTAAACGTTTCCTCACAGTTATTGTTATTTCATTTTTTTTTTTTTTTTTGCGAAGTTTTCGTTTTATCTTTGTTTGAACCATTCGACAGTTTTCCATCATATGATCACGGAAATAAACTATCGAATGAAACATTCGGTATAGTTCATCCAAACTTGTGTCCATCACTAGTATACAAACACCATTCAATTAATACGCATTTATGCGTTTAATACGTTCGTTATGAACTAATGCATATTAATGCATTCGAAATACCGCGCTCTAGATACGAGCGCGTTTGGCGTTGAAGAAATTATGGCAATGGAAGTATAGGGAAATGTTACGGTTGTTAGAGAATTGAAGTACCTACCTAGGTAATATATTATATTATTTTTTTTATAATACAAGTGATATCACTTGCGAGGAGATAAGACATAGGAGAAGATGGTTCCGCGGTCTGTGCCTACTATACCTATATAATCGTATGTGTGTGCGCATCTATATTGACCCGTAAACTCTTTTAAAGGTCTGCACAAAAAAGTTCTAGAAGAACTCCACGAGCGTTATGAAGATAAAAAAAAATCGCAATTGGAGGAGTTGAAACATAACTTCAGTCGGATGCGGGACATCTTTGTCCGAGATGACCAGCGGTTGGAACTCATGGCTATTATTTTCGAGACCCGCAATGACAGCGATACGCAACAGACTCACGCCAATTTTGAAGATTCCATCGCTGTTTTAAACAACGAGGTAGGTATTTTTAAACACATTGTTTTTGTCGATATTTGTCAAAATTTTAATATAAATAAGTTGGCGATATTGTTATTGTAATTAAATTTAGGTTGTATCGTAAACTAATAATACTGGTAAAGTGATAAAATTGAAATATTTTTAGATACGATAAACATTCATAATTTCAAACTTTTTTTGTAAACGTCTCAAGTCTACAGTTCTGTAGTTTAAATTGTAGTATCAATGCGTGATTTATAATTTGTGACTAGTGAATAATGATTAAATGTAATAAAGGCTAAAAGAGAAAACAGTCAAATACTATTCATAATATTTTTCAAAACAAATTCCCATACCTGATTAAAAAAAAAACGTGGCTTAAGATTTCAAGATAAGTGGCTTTAATTGAATTTAAACAGTTTATACATCTATTCAAAGATAAAAAAAAAATATGTTTTTGTAAATATTAAATTATATTTTAAAGTTTTTCTCCCCCCCCCCTTCCTTGGTAGCAGAGGCAAAGGTATTTATTTATACAAATATACCTCCTCCAAAAGAAATCTCTAAATACGCCACTGATTTGCCATATAAGCAAATACCTGCGCAACGTTGTTTAGACGTAATTTTACCTATTATTTAGATACTTAGTTAATATTTTAAATAAAAAAAAAATGGTATAGATGGAATATAGGTAGGTTTTATTAAACTAGCCCGGATATTTTTTTATTTTAATAACTTGCAGTTTTGTTTATAAATTCAGATGCTTTTCGAAAAAGATCGTTTCACGAAAATTCGTTTTACGGAAATGCAAACAACTGTTAAGAAATTACAGAAAGTCCTGAACGATTATGGCAACGAGACCGAGTCCAAAAAGAATCATTACAATTATTTGAAAATGCGAGATGAAGCCAACACGATGTCTATCGAGGAAAACAATAAGCGAATTAGTGAATATTCTGTACGCCAACGAGAGATGCCGTTAAATATTATTAAGTTGGTATAATATGCACTGAATAATGCTAATATCATTATATTTATATTTATAGGAAGAAATCAAAATGTTAACACAGCTATGTGCTAGACGTGAAGTTCAATATGCAAAACAGGAAAATGATTTGAAACAGGAGCGTGACGATCTTATTAAACGGGGTTTCGTTGCACAAAATCAACTAAACACCAACCAAAATGTGTATAAAAAGAAACTCGAAGCATTGACGAAAATATATAAAAACGTTATGGACGTAAGTTAAATTTAATTATTTAGGAAGAGACAGTTGTATATTATATTATATTATATTATGAATACCAATGTTATCCAAGGGCAACAAAAAAACTTTTAATATTACAAAAAAAAAAAAACAAAAACAAATTTAGTACAAATTTATGTACATTAAATGTAAAATTAATACAATTAACATATGTTTAAATAAAATGACAATCAAAAAATTTTAATTCTCTCCCTGGATTGTGATTCAGCATATTCTTTAATTATACTAATTATTATAGTACCTATGTTAACATAATTAATACAGGGGGTTCATACTAAAATCAATCGAAAACTTATATATATATCAAATAATTATTTCTGCTATGCACCAAATACAGCTTTAAAAAAATGCTTATAGAAACACCTTAATATGTTTTGATTAGAATAAGTGTTCTGATCAAAATTGTGTTAAAAAATACCCAGATCATAGTGAAACCTTCTATAGGTAGGTAAGCACCTATCCACATTCCTCGCCTTCATAAGTTGCTGAGTATGAATAATAATAATAATACCTGCTTATGTAAAAATATGTATTAACTCTTGTAAATATGTACAGAAATTATCAAGAATAACCGAAAAGGGAGAGAGAATAATTAAAATAGCAGACAATTGTGCAAAGTTAATGTTAGATAACGATAAATTAGTTGTTGTCGATGAAGCTAATGATGAGGTATAAGGTAACGATAATTATTTTTTGAGATAAAATTAATTACGGTATTTTTCATTATAGGATTTTGATAAAATGTCAATATTCTGGAAACGATATGCCTATGCAGAAATGCAGTGTCAAGAACTTGATGTTAAGCGAACAAAATTACTGCGGGAAAACAAAGATTTAAAAGCAGCTCTTACTTACTACTTAAAAACCATTGCTAGGCCGGCGTCTGTGCAAAGAGATATAAGAGACAGTGGAATACAATTGCATTTACTTCCAGTTAAAGCGGGATGACCGTAATATATATTTTTAAAATTAAATTACAAAATGCTATTTCTTTTTTTTCTTTTACATAATCATATTATCCAGACTTAAATGTTATACAAAATCATTACAACTTACATATTTTTATACTTATTCAAACTTCAAAATAAAAAAAATGATATCATACATTACAAGGGTTTTTCTTTTTCCTTAGCACCAGTCATATAGGTAATTTTAATTTGTAATTATGTGTATGGTATAGACCTAAGTTCAGGGAAATTATTTACTAAGCATGGATGTAACAATAGTTTTAAACTTACAGAGACTTAAGACTCATTCTGATTGAAAATATCTATTTTATCAACAAACAATTATAAGATAAATCGACATTGTTAAACAATATTAAAAGTGAATTAATGGTATTATCTGGAGAATAATAATTAAGGTCTATACAATAATAATTCATGAATATGTTATAGATAGATGTAATATATTGTAGATCCATTAATATTATGTAAGTACTAATCTATAACAAAGTTTAGATACAATGGATAAAACTTAGATTTGTATAGTTACACAAGCAGTAATGCAGTTTAGCTAGAAAATAATTCTGTAGCAGACTAATTTGTTTTTTTGTTTTTGTAAAATAACTTAAGTATAGATAATTAATATAAGAACAATTGTAATAGGTTATAAACTAAATAGGTATATTAAATATCTAACAAAGATCAATAGGTCAAATAATTTGTGTACACTAATTACTGACAAAAATTGTATTATTATAAAAACTGGATTCATGACTTTAGTACCATTGGTTAATAATCACTTCTCTTTTACTTATAAAGTCTTTTTTTTCACTAACAATAACTACATAATATCATATATTATAATAGTTTAAGTAACAATATAATAGTGTAAAAATATATAAATAAAAAATATTAAATTAGTTGGTAATTACTAATTTTACATAGAAACCCTTTATTAAAAGTATTAGAATGTGTTTTAAATGATCAACTCAAATAAAATGTAAAACAAGATCAGAAGGTGCTAATTTATTGTCTTGCCAAAAATATTTAATTCTAGCTTTAGCAATTTTATTGTAAGTGTTCAAATAATATATGAGAGAAAAAATTGATCTAAAGTATTTCCAAGTCACAATGTCTTATTTCTGGAAATTTGGATCTGAGCTGCCACTCTATTCTATCGATTTCTCCGCCAATCATATCAATGATATTTTCACTGTGTTTTAAAAGAAATGCCTCAGCAAAATCTGCGTTTTCAATTTTTTTTACTTCAGCCATTAATGCTTCAGGATCAAGTCTGTCTAAATATTGTTTTGCTAATTCTCTTCCATCGAAATCCAGCTCAGCCTTGTACCTAATTAAACTATTTCCCATATCAATCCCTTTGACATCGTGTATAGCCCTAATCATAATATCAGATTCCAATTCAGCATTAATTTTATTTAAATATGTTTGACTAATAGAACGACCGACTATGGCTGATGTGTTTGTGTAAATTATGAATGAAGCAACTGTACCCAAAATTCCACCAACAAGTAAAGATCCAACAGCATCAGGTATCGGAGAATTCAAGTAAGATGTTAGAGACATGCATATACCGGCCACTCCAATAGACAATACAGCAGCACAATCTTCTAATAAAACAACATTGACAGTTGGATCATGACCACGTAAAACGTATTGTAAGAAGGAGATTTTCGCTTCTTTGGAGCATTTTACAATGTTATTAATAGCAACTCCTAAAGTTGCTCCTTCTGATACAAATGAAATACCTAGTACAACATATCCCCAATATAATGAATCTAATGGTTCAGCATGGATCAGCCCTGTTACACCATGATAAATAGAAAGACCAGAGCCAATACAGAAAATTCCAACTCCGGATATAAGAGAAGCGACATACTTCATATTTGAATATCCATATGGATGATAAGAATCTGCTATTTGAACGGATTTATATATGCCGAATGCGAGAATAACTTGATTAACTGTATCAGCCATTGAATGTATACATTCCGAGAACATGCTGTGACTTCCTGTACAGGACCAAGCCAAGCCTTTGAAAATTGTATTTAATCCATTTATAACAACAGCAGTTAAGACAACACGACCAGAGGCACCAAACAGTCCTGATGATTTTTGTGTTTTGAGATCATTTTGACTTAAATTCTGTCGACGATTACTTCTTCTATGTGCTTTAATTGTGAACATTGTTTGCTGTTTTTTTTTCCTGTCAATCTCCCTCTTAATTAGCTGAGTCACTAAATCTTCCTGGGACCCCCACACTTCAGATGCCTTAGCTACGACATCCTTTCGCCAATAAACGTTTATTGGTGGTTCATCTTCAAATGGAGATCGTCGTTTAATTGTTTTTAGTCCTTCTAGATCAGTTGATTTTAACATAAACTCGGTCATTGCACGACGAGCAGTAATATAATTTCGATCAACAGATTTTTCTGGTCTTTGAGTTTTAATACAATCTTTTTCTAAGTTTACTTTATCTAATATCTCTTTTAACGGAACACTTTTTAATACTGGCACCTTGTCTTCTGACTTTAGTTTGCTACTATCATTACCGTTACTATTACCATTACCATTCTTATCATCGTCATTCATAGTAGCATAACATCGAATTGGCCATAAATGATTTTTCGCCATGGAAATCTCATTTTTTTTATATCGAAAAACATACTGTGAACATTTCCGAATCAGTACAGGATCATTGTTCATAGATGATAATATACATTTGCATGGTAGGCTAAGGTTCTTGTAGAATATGGTCATTTTGATTCTAAAAAGAAAAAATGCAGTTAAAATATAAACTATGTAATGCAACTAAATTAATTTTATAATGCAATAATAAGTAGGTATGTTGTTGTCAAGGTTGGCAAAATCACGTATAAAAGTTGTATACATTAAAACATATTATATCACGTAAAAGCAAGTTTTAATTTTTATTAGCATTAGTTTACATAAACAAGATTTGATAATTAATAGTATACAGTACACTACCTACATATTTCATAATATTTCTTTAATATAGTAAACACGTATAATATTTCATTTATAGGTTTGAGAATAATACATCTCAACACTGGCTGTTGTGCTTTCTTGTCATCATTTATCAATAATTGTATTAATTTATTAAAATGACTTAGGTAGAAATATGTAATGTTATAGATCAAAGGTGGGAACTTTATAATAATGATATAGTTGAGTATCATGCCCCAGTTAAATGGGGTACAGAGTCACAATCAGCTCTTCCACTGTAATTAAAAAGCAATTCAAATTTGTTCTATATTTAAAAACGTAGCTTATTTTTAGCTATAAAAAGATATTAAAAAGAAAGTACTATGTTTTAAGTATGTGTGCTTTTTTTTAAAAATAACCAAAAGACACTTTAAACAACATTTTAGGGATTTAAAAAATTATTGTGTACGGTTTTGTCAGTGTTGGTTACTGGTATCAAATTATGTATAATTGGTGTAATATGGAGTTCATTTTTTTATTTTCCTAATTAATTTTTAAATAATGAAGGAAAAAACTGAAAAACACGAATAAATATTTACAGAAATAGAGTTTCTATTATCTAGTTTTGGTTTTATTTTTCTATAGAAACACAATTTTGAGTGTATAATGAAAGTAAGTTCAGATTTTGATGAAATTGTAGAAATCACAGAGGGTAATGCTATAATTTAGTTGTTTAAGCATTTAAAGTTCTGTTTTATGATAATAATTTTTACAAACATTAATAACTGTAATTTATTTTGAAGAATGTAGATTAATACTATGCAAATTAATTAACAAACATTTCACTCAAAAAGCCGGGTCTAATCAGAATAATTTTTTTGTTTGCAATGATTTATCATTTTATACTATAGTACAATAATATATTACACTAAATTATCTTACAATATACTTGAACTTTTCCACTCCCTGCCTATTACAGTGATCTAATCAGTTAGCAGTGGCCAGAACTATTTTGTTATAGATATATGTACAACAAAACTGAAGGGGGCCTAAAGTTTATAGCATTATCGACGCAATTTAATATCTTACTTGATATAACTGGAACTGTAATATTAATGATTTCTGTAGATATGAAAACTATCTGTACTTAAGTCAAGGAAATTGACAGTCTTATAACAATAAATATTTTTCTTATTTACACAAGAACTATTCTGAAACATTTAATCATTTTTTAGACGGTATATTTAATTTTAATACATACATAGAATTATCTACAACAATTACTTACCTTATACACTTTTGCTATGAGGAATTGTATTTCATGGACGTTGCTTTGAATTTTTATTAATTAGGTTCACCCAGATGTGTGATAATCTACAAACATGATAATAGGTAATATGTATTATATTATGTTAAACTATGTAATAGTAGGTAGTACAATTATTGTTAATAAGTATGAATACAGTAATACATTTAGAAAAACATAAAAAATTATAAATGTTTAGTTATAAAAAAAAAATCAATTAGGTATCTATTATTTGAAGTGTCGTTTATCAGATATAACTATGTATTTATTTACCAAAAAAAAAAAAATATATTTTATAATATAAATAAATAGCCGTAGAGTAAAATAGCCAGGACATTATTGATAGTTACAGAGTGTAACCCTAAGTATTGGATATTTTATACTCCAAACATAATATTAAGTAAATAAACAATTTATTTTGAATTTTTAAAAACTGCCTACCTGTCTAATTGAATTTGGGTATTACTGGTATTATAATAGGTACTAGCAGTACTTCTAATTCTTAAAAGTGAGCAATATGTTTGAAGACAGGTACCTAATATTTTAAATAAAGATTTATGAATACCAGACACTTCTAGATAATGTTTCATTTGACAGTTTGCAAATTCTCGTAGATTTAAAGAAAAGGAAAATTGTTGGTGAAATATTACAATAGATTTAACATCAGACAATTTATGTGTACCTAAATATATACATATGGATCATCAATAAATATAATAAATTACAATGGTATTTAAAAAACTTAAAAGAAAATGGTGTTTCTATAATGTAATATCAACATAGGTAAATAATATGACTTACCTAAATAATGAAAGTTATCATGCGATATCAGTCTCTAATTTGTTTTCTTACTATTTTTGAAAAGTGGTTTGCGTACATGATTGCTTTTGTTTTTCCTAACATCATCACAGACCACAGCCAAAACTTAGCGTTATAGTTGGCCGGCTGTTTGTTTTGTAAGTTATGTGCATAACATTTCGAAATATTAATACAATTATTTGACCAAGAATCAAGTTTTAACTACAACATCAATTGTGAAAACAAAATGATAACATTATCAGTAAGGTATATTGTGATAAAGAAAAGTTAAAAACAATAATTATTCTGATACGAATATCAACAGATGCAGTGATGTCTGTTCCTCAGTTCTTACACCAAATATTATTTAAACATTATTTATCATATTATACAACCCAAAAACAACGTTAATACATTCGTTTTTATCATATAATTGATTTTATGAAATTTTTAGTGTCTTCGTGAATTCGGCGATTCCTGGATTCCATGATTATTTGTCCATTAAAAGAAGTAAAATTACGTACCAACAGTGAATTCATTTTCAGGGTGATAGGTAAGTAACTACCGTTTTATTTTGCCGTGAAATCATATTGGTTTTAGGTACTTGTTTGGAAAAATGAAAAAAAAAACTAATAAACTAATATAACTTGTTAATAAAACAAATCATGTGCAAGTGAACTATAAATAGGTTTCAAACTTATTTTCAGTGGTTCTACTGAACACGGAAAATCTTGCCAGAAATGTTTTCTGGTTTCCGGCATTAAAGGAGCTAATAATGTTTTGATTATACTTTCCTTTTTACTTGGATTGATTTATTTTTGAATATCCATTTTTAATGATACTTTTTTTTTTTTCAAAAAGTATTGATTTGGAAATGGACAATAATTACCATAGTTATGTATTAGGTAGTTAGGTAGGTATATAATTTTGTAAAGCAAATAATCCGGGCGCACACAAATTGCCTCCCGTGAATTTTTTTTTTTAACAGTTACTCAAATCGCCTCCTATTTTAGGTAGTGACCTTCTTGTATCGAAATAGATTTTTATTTTGATTTATTTAAAACTAAAAACAATTTTACATAGTTAAGTATTAGGTACACGACATTAGTATACGTATCATTAGTAGACATTAGTACAAAAAAGCAAATAGGTATACGTATCGTATCGAAATTGCATGTATTTAAAATTGAAAATTAAAATAATAATACAAAATAGCATAATGTAATAGCAATAAAAAATTAAAATAGTCAAAAATTAAAATTAGTTATCTATGTTGAGTATTAGTATGCACTTTCCTAGGTTTAAATTTGTTTGCTAATATGTTTAAATATTGAAGTTTTGAAATTTCATTTTTATTTAATTTATCAATTAAGTTATTAATAAAATTAATTTTATTTTTAGTAGTTGCCCTAACTTTGACGGTTTCTAATGTGAAAGTTCTAATTAAAATTACCGTATCTAACTGCATTGATTTCAGTACATTAAAAAATGTATGAATATGACGGTTAGGGGTTGAACAATTAGAATTAAATTTCTTGTGGAATGATTCGCAAGCGTTAGTAGACCTTTGTGTACCGGATGTCATTGCATTTAATAATCGATAGTACACGTCCGCTATCGATATATTAACTAATAATCTAAGTATGCTATGGGAGACAATTCGAGTGGACGGTTTGAGTATACTCAAATTGCCTCCGAAAACACCCGGAGGCTATTCGAGCGAAAAAAGGTCACCCATTTGAATTCGGGAGGCAATTCGAGAGTTCCCAATAATCCAATCCCCTTTCAGCCTTTTTAATATGAACGATACCATTAAACAAAGGTTCTATATTTTACCTATTCAATTTGTAAATAGGACTTTTATATTTTATATGCCCGCGTAATTATTCCACGTCTTATTTCCACCTTACCTTACGTCTACAGGTCCACTATTATTTTTACGGAAAACTTTGTCAAAGTCCACGAAATCATACCCGTTTCAATGATAATTTACGTGGTGATGAAAACCATCAGTTGGCACGAGAATGTTCAGGCTCAAAATAGAATGAATTAATTTTCGATTGTTTCGATTTCATTTGAGTTAATTATATAAATCAAGAACGTTTCGAAGCATCATTCATTTATTATTTACTATTATTATTAATATTATTTACTTTGTTATTTATTATTACTTTTTAAGTAGACATTTTTCACTATTTGTACAAAATATTTTACTATAGTAATTTAGCATTGTTTAGAGAGCACTACGAAATATTTAATGCGTTATAATAAAAAAAAAAAAAATGACATAATATGAAGTTATTGTATTTTTTAAAACAGTAACATTTTTTGGAGAGGACGATAGCAGAAACCGCCTCCTCGTGGTGCTCTCTGCAGAGTAATGCTAAATGGTTTTGTTAAAATATTTTGAACAAATATTAAAAAATACTCAAGAAGTACGTGATAATGAACGAACAAGCATAAGCAAATATCAATATAAATTTTTTTCACAAATGGTTCCCAAAATATTGAACGTGAAATACAGTGGCCGAAAGAGTTTATCAAATTTGGACGAAAAGAGAACGCGGTAGGGAAATAGGTGCGCGTTTACGAATGACACTAATAATCAAGGCTGGGGACTTATAGAACCTAAAATTCGCAAACAAAATAACTTAAAAACGGCAAAAAAGCATTTTAAAAATCTTAAAATGGTTGAGGCCTTTAAAAGTTTCTCTACTAATGGTTCTAACTTATAAAATACTTTGTTTCTAATACTATAAAAATGATGAACACAAAGTAAATTTTTTACAGCTACAAAATTATCTGTAATGTATTGTGTCGGAAAATATTACTTAAAAAGACACATCCGTGTAGGAGGAAGGACTTTTAAACTACTCTACCGTTTTTGCTTTTTTAAATTTTTTTTTCTTCAGGTGTTTTCTGTGCCTTGTTGTGGATTTTAACTTTTAAGTGCTATTAGTCTCTAGCCCTGCTAATATTATCGATATTGAAATAGTTTCTGGTGAGTACCCCCATTCGTTTTTCGTGATTGAAAAATATCGTTAAAATGTCGACTTTCAATTTCCATTAAAGAACTTTACTATGACACCTATCTACTAACCAGCTACCCTTTAAAAATGCGTAAATACGTGCAGTTATATAATCGTAGTTTAAAAATAAAAGAAATAATTGAATTATATTAGGTGTGACCCGTGCGCGTGATTTATGGATTCGACTACCTTTATTGCACAAAACGGATATATTTTATTGTTAAGTAGATTATATCTAATTAATCCTAACTAATAAATTGCAACCATATTAGCCGTTACAGCAGTGGTGTTCCCATAGGGTTTACATATTATTATATGTAAATTATTACATACATATTATACGCCGCCGTGTACACGCTGAACATTTTGTTAAAATATCACTGCGCGAATACTCTCAAAAAAGTTAAAAAAAAAAAAAAAATAAATAAATAAATAAAAATTCGTTTGAAATCGTATTAGTAGAAAAAATTGTAATTATAACTAAAAAAAAGGACGAACATTCTTCGCACAAGAGCTCAGGCACTGTTATAAGTGGGAAGTTGGAAAGGTAGGATACAGACGGGAATTTAATGTATATATGTAAGCAACGATGAACCATTGCTAACGAAAAAACGATTCTGTGCGGAATTCAGTTAATAGTGTTGCTTTGTCCACATATAATATTATATACGTCATATTATGGTAAAATGGTAACGAAAATGTACGCTTCCGTGGCCATGATAATTGTTTAAAAAATATTAAAATAATAACAACAATAAATAGGTAAAAACGATTGCCAATGACAACCTTATTTTTAATCTTTCAATCATTTTTAACCTAAAGATCCAGGTTTTTCTCATTATCTCGAATATTAATGATGATTTCAAAAAATGATTTATCAAAAGTATCACCCAGAGAACGTTTCCTTTCAGAAAAAGTGCTATATTTGATAATCGGCGTAAATTTTCTGGTAGAAAAAGTGTTCACATAAAAAACAAAGTTAATTAAAATAAACACCTTAGTGAGACCAATCCAATACATTCCAAGTTCCGCTCAGAATCTAAAATTCACTGTATTGATATCTATACATTATAACATCTATACAATCACTGTAATAAAGGTACAAAATACCACGTACAAGGCACAGAATGTTGTAATAGTTTACTCTCTCGAAAAAATGACCGGGAACACTACTGCATTTCAGTTAATAAACATTTTAAATATTTATGTACCCATCTACCTATAATAATGGTTGATTATGGGACTGTGGGAAAATACAAGTGTACCGAAATTATATTATCAAACATGCTTACGCACTCTGCACAATCGATAATAATAATAATAATAATGCTGGCCACAGTGTTTGTAAAAAAAAAAAAAATCGTTCGCAAAAACGAGAATATCTTTTCGAGAATCAGAACGCGGATTATCATGTGTCGTGAGTTATTTTAAGAACTTTACCGAACTATAAGAAAACAATTTGGGAAAGCCAACTTTGCGAGGAGGGTGCAATTTTCCCTGCGAATGAAAAAATGACCGTATTTTAAATAACAATAAATCATTCTGTATACAATTTTGAAAGGATTCTCGTTGCTTACAGTACTATGCTTGTGTGCAGAAACTATAATAAATTAAATATCTTAATTTTTAAATACTTGACAGGACATTTTTAAATTCTTTAATTGCTCGTATTTTTGTATCGGTTTTTTTTTTTACGGTGTCCTAAAAGAAAATCGGAAAAAAAAAACTCGAAATTAACAAAAATCGTTATTGAGTAAATATCAAAAATATCTCGTTTTTCACGTCCATAAATTCGATCAGTTGTAACGGCAACGAGTCATCAGCCGGGAGAAAGGCTGCTCGCGGGGGCGTTTCGATTTTCGGAACGGCCGTCTTTTTCGCTCACGCCGCAACGTCGTAGTTTAGACAATGATCGGTAAATGTCCCGGTATTTCGCGCGTCATAAGCTTTACGGCGCGGGTCGTCCGTTACTCGGCGACGGGCTACTGCGTTGTTTTCAATTCGAGTGCGTCGAAACGCGCGTGCGGTACGGGCGCGTACGGAGCGACGTGACGCGCGCGCCGTCGCGCACAAACGCTCCGAACAACCGCCGAACCGCGGGTACACCAAGTGCGTCTATTTCCCGAGTCTCTCTACCTCGGCGATTAAAAATACTCGACCGCGTCGCACAAACGGTACGGCGCAGTAAAATCGAACGCGACGTGCCGCCCGCCGCGTCCGAACGTTGCGAATTCTCGTTTCGCAACACGCCTGTACAGACCCCCCCGGGATGGGGGGGGGGGGGGGAGGATGAGGGGCGTGCGTGTTTTCGAACGTCGTCCGGCGTAACGCAACACAATACGCAGCGGTCGGCCGTGGTCGTGTGCGTTTGGCCGACCGCGGTTAATACCGATTTATACCGATCAACACCGACGTTTAACAAAACTCGCACCTCGTCGGCGCGGTGCCGTTACCGACGGCGCCGCTGTCCACATCGACGGCGTAAATAAATAAACGAACGGTTATTCGGGCGCGCGTCGTGATCGCCATCGACAGCCGGAAATGCGGCGCGGCGATCGCTGTAGACCGTTTGGGGCGCGCGGGGTCACGGGAATCCCGCGGCACAATCGAGCACGGTCGGCCCGCCGCCGTGTTCCGTGCGCCGCGCGCCGAACAGCCCGTCGCCGAATCGAATCGCGCGTTTCGCGGCGGGCGGCGGTGACGGCGCGTCAACGTCGGAGAACCGACTCGCGAGGCGTAAAACGGCTCGGGGTCGCGCACTGCGGGTTCCCGGCGCTCCTGTCGCGTAGGTTCCGCGCGGGGACGGGCGTTCGGTAAACTGACGTTTTTACACCGGGGATTTCAACGTCTCGGCGGATAAAACGTCGCGTAACGCGCGCGGACAAAACTGCGACACGCCATAAACGCGGTCACAAGCGGCGCGCGCAGCCGTCGCGTACAATGACGGCCGGAACGTTAACGGCACCGCCGTGGCGGGAGGGGGGGAGGGAACCGGCGAAACCTGTTCGCTTAGCTTTTCCGCGCGGGACGAAAAACAATATAAACGTCGCGGGAAAATCCGCGCGGCTTTTCAAAAGCCTTTCGACCATAATTAATCGTGCGCGGCCGCCAAGGTGAATTGCGCGCGTCGTTTCGAAACCCATTAACCGACGCCGCCCGTCCTGCCGACGGTTATTCGCTTCTAATCCGAACGTACGGCCGCGTACAGCTCGGTCTCGTCCCCGGCCGTATTTATCCGTGTAATCCGACGCTGGCTCCGCGCCTCCGCAATTTGTCCGCCGCCCGTGCGTGTTCCCGGCGACAACGAGCAATTTTTCCACGTTCGCGGAACCGTCACGCGTCGTTACGCGGATTTTCGCCACTCGCCGTCGTTTCCGTTTCAACGATTACGAGCGCGCGCACGTTGTCCGTTTCCGCGGTTACACTTCGCCACTGTAGCTTGCGCTCTATTGGGCGGACCGACGCTGCGAACGGAGCGTTTGTCGAAACGGGATAATAACACTGCAAGGCGGATTGATCCATTTAAGCGGGCAAACTCGGTATCTCGGAAATTAATTACTTTTTTTTTTTTTTGAAAACTGAAGAAATAAACCGCTCTTAGCATTTACATTAACCGTAACGAAATACTCCATCTGTTTACGGAATTTTCATTTCATTTGATTGTCATTTGAAAATCGAAAGTAGACTGTGCTCCCCGCGGGTCGATACACTCGCAGTTTTACGCGTACTTACCTACCTGTGATTTTACGATCGCTGGTTTATCATATTATAACACGTTACTCGTCTTTATACACGCGCGACTTTCGTTCGGTTATCAAACGTTTAAAAATATAAATGCTCAGACAGCCGCGGCGACGTCGCGTGCGTATTGTAAATATTATGATGTCTTGTAGTTAAATATTCGTTAAATAATACCGTTGAATATTCGATTGTACGGTGTACACAAAAAGAGACATCTTAATTTGAATGTATATTTTTTTTTTTTTTTAGTTTGTTTTAACTTTGTTTTTTATTTCATCCGTATTATTGAACCGATAAAAATAATACGATTATCGTATAGTGAAAAACCAATAACCATCCCTGTATCACACCCTTCCTCCCTTTGCGGTTTGAATTCCGGGGAGAGTTGCATTCGCCTATGTGTTATTCAATCCGTTCAATAGTTTAAGCGTGTGAGGGGCTTACAATAAAGATCCATTCGTCCAAACAAATTTTCGCATTAATAATATTAATAGGATAGGGTTAAAAAAAAAAAAAAAAAAATGATTAAATCAAAAATGACAGGGAGATTACAGATTTTGAACGAAATCCCTAACTGTGATATACTTACGTGTACGTATGCGTCTCTATGTTTTTTTTTTAAAAAAAATACGACAAACCCCTATTATTTGCCGACCTTTGTGGAAAGAGAAATGTCGAACCTATACGCAATAACAATAAATAACAACAATATTACTAAAATGATTATATTATAACGGTATCGATAGTGACAAGTACAGTGACATTTTTATTATATTTTATAGGCGAGTTGTGTTATGCTTCGTTTCCGCCGCACAAAAGTCCAAAAAGTGAAAACGACACCGCGGTCAGGTATCGTTTTACAAAACGCGCCCGCCGTCATTATTTATTACATACCGTCGGAAAACGTCAACGCTGCAAAACTGCAAAGTTCACGGTTTTTGTTGGTTTTTTTTTTTTTTGTGAACGATAATAATATTTTGACAGCGTCCACAAAATTATACACCAACTGGTATAATATATAGTTACTTAAACGATACGTGATGTGTATAGGTACCGTACAGGCGCAGATAGCCCAAATTTTTTTTTTTTGGGAGACGGTTTAACATCACGTAATATTGATTATGTATAATTAGTATGTTATTTACTTGATAAGGAGGCTTGATTTGGGAGGATTGGCTGAGTTTTTAGGGGATAATACGCCCGAGTCGCCTCTTCATTTGCGCCTATGGTATATAATAGACACCTACATTATCTTACATATTTTAGACAATATTTCAATAAATTATCGTTACTGCACGATTTCATTACTACGTGATACATACCTATAATAATAATAACAATAATATTTGTATTATGAAAAATACATAAAATTAGTATTTTAAATACACGGTAGAGGACTGTAAGCCAGTTTTCAGTGGCGTAGCTGTACAGGAGTTTACAAGTGCAGCGACAAAATATAATATATTTCGAGAGGCTTGCTAAAACCGAAATTCGTAATTACGAAAAAAAAAAAAAAATAATAATAACAATAATAAATCGAAATGATGATAACGTGGTCCGTTTTTTATCTGGTGACTCTCGCATTGCTCCCATACGAATTTAAGTAAGTGACAGTTTTTTTTTTTTTATTGAATCACCTCCTATAGTATACCTAGATTATTTGTACCGTTTTCGAGACAATTCAAGTGAATGTTATTTTTGAAATCTGGAAGCGATTCGAGTAAAATTTTTAAAAACAAATTCACGAAAGACAATTCGAGTGTCAGATCGGAGGCGATTCGTGAGCGCCCGTTTATCTCAACAATTATACGAGACCCGAGTATAGTATTATCGTATTATTAAACAATATTACTGCTTTGTAAAAAGTAGTTTTTAGTATAGGTATTCAAATACAATTGTACGTAAACTAGCATTCGTATCCTTACAAATCTACTAGTATTTTTAACTTAAAAATAAAAAAAACTAAATGCATTAAATGTATCATTATTGATTATAATATTTTATTGGCCGTGCAATTGCACGTTGACAACTAAATTTAATTTATTTTGAGCTAATTGCAATTATTGTAACAGATTAATAAATTAATATTATGCTTACGAATGTCATTATTGTTATAGGTGGATAAACACTTTTGTACATATTATAATTAGGTATACAGCCATATAAAGGTCGACTTGGGTAAAATACTTTTTAAAAGTATAAATAGAATAAATACAATCAATAGTATTCCGAATATGTTGCAAAAGTATTAGGAATATTATTTTTTAGAATTTATAATAAGTACGAACAAATCGGGTTTGCCATTGTTGTAGGTGGCAACTAAACGAACATAAAAGTAATTTCGGAGGAAAAAAATAAGCACCTATCTTGTAGTAAAACATTAAGCGCCCCTAAAAAATAAGAGTGACAAAAAATATTTATTTTTATTTTTAAGAAATGTTTCAAAACTATTCGGAATACTAACGAAAAAAGTGTTTTTTTTTAAGTATTAATTATATATAAAAAGTTTTTAGAATATTTTATTCGGAATACCCATATTTGCGTAAAGGCATATTATATACCGCGTATACCTAATTCCGTTTTTGTCCATTTTCCATTTAGTACGGTCGCTGGAAAAATTAATAAAATAATAACTAACTATAGTACTTTTTAAGGTATTCGAATACAATAATAACCAATAGCTATATTTAAAAAGTATTAAAAAATACTTATAAAATACATTTTTAGTGATACTTGTAAAGTATATATATATATAAGAAATAAGACTAATTTCGTTACTAGCCTATGATTATTTAATGTAAAACAAAACAATGTTTCATGGCGTACACGGGGATTGAAACATAAATTTGAATTTGAACGATTTCCTCTTGATATTCGTATTTATTAAGGTTTTTTTTTTTCTAATAATATTTTGACCATTACGATGATTGGGGTTTTTGAGCTACGTCGCCGTCCGTCCGAATATAATAAATATCGTACCCGCCGCATCGTTTCGTTTCATTAATTTTTGCCACATTTTTTTTTTTCCTTTCGATAAACGAAAATAATATATTATCAATAATAATTTGTATACGGTTCGACGTTTTTAACGCGGTCCCGGTATAGATAATTAAAACGTTACGCATAATAGGAAACGGAATATGTGCAGCGAGCAAACAGGTGGTTAAAACAAACGGTACACGGATGCGCGGTCATCGCGCGGTCGGGGGCGTATATTGTGTAGTTCCAGCATGTCGAGCCAGTGAAATTATTATAAAACCGAACGGAAACGTTCGTATACAACTGATTGATTGGGCAAAATCGAAATTTGAACGTGTTTTGCGAATATCAAACAACAGTAACAATAATATATTAATATTGTCCTCGTAGCGGCAAGTGCACGCAACTATCGCAAATTTTCAAAAATTAAATCAGAATGCAACAGTGTTAGTTTCCGTATTCCGCGTCTTTTGTCGCCAACGCGAAAAACGGTAAAAACGTCGTTTAGTACCTCGTAAATCGATTTTAAAATGTCGTAACTATACACAGTGATTTCGAGCGTTCAAACATATCTGTAACAAATCGCAGTGACTAACAAAAGGCAGTTCAAAAACGTGTTATGTCGATATTATTTATTGCGTTTTTTTATCGGTAACGGAATTTATACTGAATAATAATAATATTGTATACCTAACAAGTAAATCGGAATTAAATGCACTTGGTGTCTCTGTATACTAACTGCAGTATCTGCAATGCGTGCATTTCCATGCATCTAGAAATTGCAGTTAAAAATGATAATTTCCGTGGTGGATATAATATAACTACTAGATACAAATACAGTAAAAACATTCAAAATCATGTTTTTCAGTAATATTATGTTATTGAGAAATCAAACTATTTTTTTTCCCCCAGAGATTTAGGTGCGGTTTTTACATGCTATTGGCCGTTAAATTGAATACTACTACGTAGTTAATTCTATTACGAGATACATCAAAATGATAAAAAATGTCAATTTTCGAAAATTCAATTTTTATAGTTATTGCACTTGCCAGTACGGGGACTGAATAATAATTGTCTTACACTCAGCAGGGGCGGAGGGCTATAATTTGTCGGAACTGTATTTTGTCGAAAATGGGTTTTTTAGAAACGTATTTTGTCGGAAAAATAAATCGTCGGAAAGTATTTTGTTGGAAGCGTATTTCCATTTCAACATATGCTCACGCCACGCCATTGTTGTTCAACAATTATAATAATATGCGTATTTTTTTTTTTTTTTTTTAGTTTTTATGTGTATAGGTAATGAAAAAAAAAAAAAAAAATACAAAAAATACAAAACGAAACGAAACTCAAATACAAATTTGGAAGTCGTCAAAGCGACTACGGGGATACGGGGAAAACGCGATGGCTCGTACGTAAATATTATAATTTCGTATGAATAGTAAGTCGATTATTACAATTTAACAGTGGGTAGGTAGGTGTATTATAGTACATAACATATTGAAAAAAAAAGAAAAAGAAAGATCCATTACAAATAATCGACTCTACACGTTTTATCGTTCTAAACAATAATATTATATGTAATCCGACCTAGTTTTTTTTCTTTTTCGGTAAACCTATCTATACAAGTGAATATTTTACAGTAAATTTTACAAAATTTTCGCCGTTTTAATACGTAATGACAACGACGTATGTCGTCGTTTTTTGTTTCTTTTGTTTTTGTAGTTGAATCGTCGAATGATTTGAGGGGGCGAGGGGAGAAGAAGGGTAAACGAAAATTCAAAAAAAAAAACAAAAAAAAAAAATCACAGACGGAATTATGAGATTTACGGGGAGGACGGGGAGGAGGTGGGGGTCAGGTTTCGGGGTTCGTACTTAAATAATTAGGTATATGTATATTATAATAAATTGTTATTGTTTCGTTCGCGACGTGATAATTCGCGGAGATTTTCTTCCGAGGGTATGGTCGGAACGTCGCGGGCCGAGTCGACGACGGATCGGATCGGATTACCACTTGAAGTGCGCTTGTGGCGGACAATCTTTTGCGCTCCCGCACCATTTGGTCTGCAGCAGCGGCGGACACTGTCGTCCCGCGCCTCTCGGGTGTCTGACCACCTCTCTGCGTCTCTGCATCTCGCCGACGCCGCACGACACGCTGCACGCGCTCCACTCGGACCAGTCGCCCACCCGGCAGTCCCGGTATCCTGCGAAAACCAACGACAAATTATAACAAATAGTCATCACAGCCAGTGGCGCCGAACCGCGATCTAAGAAGGTGGGCGGGTAAAAAGTTGTATAGACCACCGCCCCGTTCGTACAAAACAAACTCCCGCAAACGACACTTTTAATTAATATTCCATACGTACCGATCCGATTAGAAAATATACCCATCGAGGATCTACCACCACCCACCAATTAAAAGAAGGGTGGCAATCGTCAACCTTGACTGCTGGTTTCGGCGCCGCCGATTCACAGCCACTGAATCATATTCAGACGAGTTCACGGTGGTGTGAGATAATAAAACTGCAATAGGGCATAAAATTGCCCTATTTCTCAGGGCCGTATGAAAACTAAGAACCATATTTATCTGGACTGTAGACGATCCATAGGCGTAAATAGGGGGTTAGGGAGGCTTAGGTCCCCAAAACTCAGTCCAGAAGTTTTAATAAGTACCCAAATAGATATTTACATTAAAATGAAAAGGACCTGGATTTTACAAAAAGAAAAATATATAAAGGATAAAATGACAGAAAAATCACTAGCAAAATGAGACTGTGAAAATGAGAAGGGAAATGTGTATTGTATTGTTTTTAAACGTTCGGATCCAACTAGTAAATTATTTACCGAAAGCCGGGGCTCAATACATATAGTGTATTATCTATCAAAACCGCTAGGGTCGGGACGCAATTCGGATGCAACCATTCTCCAGTTCGTATTCACTCGGCATCTATAAACTAAAAACCCTATTTGTCTGGGCTGTATATCGCCGGAATGATCTGTAATGTATATTTTCGGATTGTAAGTGATATTTCCAAAGGAATATCGTAATATTTCTTCCACGGGTAGTGGATTCCGGGAAATTACGATCCGGTGGAATTTTACACTTTTTGGACAAAATACAGTTTTTAATTTTTTAGATTCCGGCGATGTACAGTTCGAACAAATATGACCCTGGATTAATACGTTCGTTAATTTATTTTACGGAATTATACAGAACACTATAATATCCTGAGGTGCTAAAACGGATCCCGGGGCGCTACGCATGCAGCCGGAAATGAGGTAGGTCAAAGAAAACTGGTGGCTAGAGGTTATTTTTAGAGGAGGAGATATGATAGAATATTGATGGGATGATGATAAAGCGAAGAGGAAGAAGAAGTCAGCTTTATTTAAAAACTTTTTTAGTGAAAATCTCTATCTTCACTAAAAATCTATAGCTCCGCTATCATTTATTAGCCAATTATTAACACGTTACAATAATACTATCCGAAACGGGCTTGTTAAAATGTCAACCGACTTGGTAAATTGCAATAGATCCACCATTGATAAATTTCGTGGTATCAATCATTAATCGTCAATTTAATTATTGCAGTTTTAAATAAATATTTCAAAACTTTTTGATTTTGTGCTAAAAAAACTTCCGAAACAACATTTTTTAAATGTACCTAGTCACTTAGAACTGTTTACTATAGAGTAGTAGAGGTATTTCGAATAGATACTCGAAATGTATTCGGAATGTTTTTACCATTATTTGTCTATATAAGTGTTTCGAGTACTGATATTTTAGTACATATTTGTTATTTCATTTTAGGTAGTTTTTGAATGCTGTACACCGTACAATTGAACCTCATATTACGTCAATATTTCTGTACAAATGAATCGTTCGTTTTATCGGACACAGCACATATTTGATAATTTCGATCAATCGATTACCTTTCGGAAACGAATGTAGAAAAAAAAAAAACTAATATCAATAATAACATTCCGTTTCAATCATGCACTTATCCGACGACGACCGACGATTATAGGTATACGGATCCGCGTCAAAACGTCTCGATAATACGCGTCTGTCAGTCTGTGTACACCAGAGTATTATTCGTATACGATTTTATCGAAATAAAATCACCGAATATAATAAATCTAACGAAATCATTTTAATTAAAAAAAAAAAAAAACACCTTTCGAATAACTTTCAGTAATAATTTCGTTCAATTAATATTATACTGTAATACTAGACCCTAAGGATCTATAAACTACACTTATAACCCCGTTGAAATCATGGCCATGTGCCGCGTAAATGCAAATATAAATATTTTCAAAAATAAACAACGATTTTTTTAATTTGTATTTTAATTTTATTATAATTTCGTAGTCCGATAATTGGTTTTGAAAACTATTCTTACACTTTGCAAACAGTGAATTATATGAATAATTATAATTTTAAATTCGAATAATTTTGTTTGCAAATATAATTCGAATTCTTATTTTGTTCGAATAATATTGTCAAAATAAAAACTTGACAAACTTCGGTGTATGCCGAATATTACGTATTTAATGTAGAATATTGTATAACGACAATTTTGTTGCCAGCGGTGTTTCTCTCAGGTTCAAGAAGTAAAAAGGGGTTTGAGTGTTTCTTTTTTATTTTCGTCGGAGAATATTAAAAAACGAGAACTGAATACACATATAGTTTGTTAAGTTTCTATGGGGGTTGTTATTTTCGTAGAAACTTTTCATGCCAAACCATACCAGCTAACACTTGGTTCACGGAATACAATTCTGTACGTGTAGAAAATGAATGCGTTTAACACGAAAGAGGTAAAAATTGAGTTTGATTAAGATTCTGAATAATAAACATGTTAACAGGACGTATTCCAGACATGAGGAAAACCGTAAAATCACACATCCACCCACAGCGTTTAGATTTTTGAATCCTACACAATTGTTTTAAATGAAAAATGTCAATAGACAATAAAGATTAAATAAACCGATTTCCATTTATACAAAAATGAAACTAGCTGTTTTCAATAAATCGGCAGATTACTGTATAAAAAACATTTATTACTTCGCCGATGTCAATCGAAATGTCTCTTTTGCGACTTATTATAATGTCAGGCTCTCGAGTCTTTCGTAATTCATGACATCTGCAGGCTCCGATCACTCGACTATATTGTGTTCCAAATACACACCTATTATAATAATCCACCCAACGATCACCATTACCCCCGAGTGAAAATTCCCGTTTGACACTGTACGTCGAACAAATTTAAATTTAATATTTAATAAACGTTATAAATAAAAACTCTGATGTAATTGGAATGGTATAAGACGTGAAGAGTAATATTCTATTTATATACACTCTGTAGTATACACATCTATTCAATGTAAAATATACAAGAGAATAAAATTGAAAAAAAAAAAAATTGCAATATGTTTGATCGTAAAAACAAATGAAATGTCCGACTTTTTCCACCATTGATTTTCGATTCCGAATATTGGTTTTACAATGATTTTTATTTTTTTTGTATTTATTTTAAAATTTACCAATCCTCGTTTGGAAAAGTTATTAACAATGATTCGGGGTTTGAATAAAATATCTTATACCCTGTGTTTCAGTGACGTAATTAAGGCTATACGTTTCGAAAATAATCAATATTTTACGTATCTATTCCCGAGAACACATGTACTAAACATTTTTTAAAGTAAATAATATAATACATTATTATTTATTTAGAACAACAAAATCACCGCAATAATATACATCCATTATTTCCTCGACTAATGCGACGGCAAAGCCTTTGGCTCGTTATATACACGGTATCCCACGAGGATTCGATAAACGCAATGACTTTTGTTCTCGAAGAAAATAAAAGACCACACTTTAACAAAACTTTCAACCATTTTTCTAAAAATGTTTGATGGTTGAAAAATTTTATTTTAAGTCTCCTCCCACTAAAAAAAAAAATGGTGAAATATAAACTGTAGCGCATCAGAGGCATACTAATTATTTAAAAAAAAAAAATATATCAAAAATATTGAATAGAACAAAAGTTATTACGTTTGTCGATTCCTCCCTGTACAGGGTATCCTCTGGATGTGGACCTCTTTATATTGTGATCTACGATGTACGATTATCGCGAACAAGATAATATCGCCATGATAAGATAATCACTTAATTTTCGTCTAAACAATGTTTAGAGACACGTCGCTAACCACCATTAATCGGTACAATGTATACATAATACGATATTTTGGTGGTAAGGTATAATTGGGTAATATCCGATATTACACAGTAGTACAGTTACACCACAACAAACCCAACGTCCGAAACACATTCGGGACTGTTGAATTATTATTTCCATTCGGATGATATCGGATAAACCGATTGTGTTGCATAGCAACTGTAATCTATACGAGGGCTAATCAAAAAGTATCAAGACTGGTAGTATCATTCGGAAAAGGAGCATCGAAGAGCAGTAGGATCGGTATCACTTGTTTCTGTGACTTTTTCTGAGTACATTTGTTTTTATTGCTTCTCTATAAAATTCTTCGGTTTGATTTCACCGATATTTTTGTAAAATATATTTTTCGAGTTTGGCGATTTTGTAATAAGCCCAAAAGAAGAGTAACTTGACGGATTTGGAGATTTTAGAAAATTTGTCTGCATTTTTTTCCAGTTTCAGAGGGATGCAACATTTCATGGTTTTTGCCATTAAATGTCAATTGAAAAACTGAAAATGTGCCCTCGAGTGGCAGCGAGTTCCGCTTCTTTTTGGATTCATTACGAAATCGCCAAACGTGAAAAACAAATTTTAGAAAAATACCGTCAAATCAAAACGAAGAAGTTTACGGAGATTTTATACGAATACACGTGCTCAGTACAAGTCACAGAAGCAAGGTTTACAAATCGTTTTGCTCTTCAACGCTCGGTTTCCGAGTAATATTATCAGTCTCGATACTTTTTGATTAGCCCTCGTATATTGTATAACCGTTAAAACTTTAACGACGTTTGAGCGCCGGGTAAAAGTTTCCCGGACGTTGGTTGGCGCGTCGATCGGCGTTACTCTTACGGCTGCCTAATTGAATGTAAATAAAAATTAATTACTCGATTTTTTGTGCGCTTTTTTGTGTTTTCGGATATGGTAACTGTCCATAATGCTGTTCATTATCGCTTCCTTGTCGCCTTTCGGTATCATTACCGGCGATGTCACATTGGCCACCGACACTCCTCTGTCGTCACCGACGCTGCAAAGTGCAAACACAATTTGAATAGTAACACCGTCCGTATAATTGTATTTTTACGGAGGGTCCGGGATGAATTTCAGCGATTTGTTAAGGGCCGTGTACGGGTGGAAATTCGATCACGTTCGAGGAATTTCATTCGGCCCGGCCCGCGAAAAAATTCTATACCCGCGCCCATGGCTATGCGCGCGATAACCATTGATTTCGCGTCGATTCGGTCATTCTATACGCCGGTTGGATTGTACGCACCTTTTGTAGTTGTTGTACTCTTGTTCTCGTCTTTGCTGTTCCATTTCCAGCTGCACTTCTCGGTCGTTATCGCTGTCGCCGTTCAACACTTTAATAACGCTCTCTTCGATTTTCACCGTCGCGTCGGACGCCTGGCCCCTGCCACCTAAAGACTGCTCGTATTCCTTAATCTGAAAACGCGAGAAAAACATTAACCGTGTAATATACGTGACGCGCGGGGCCGGCCGCGTAAAACGGCCGCAACAATAGGCGGGCGAACAATAATTCTTTTCGATCTCGCGGCACAGCCGGTATAACGACGGCGGCCGAATTTATTGCGGTTAGGTGTATCTATAATATATGTACGTGTATACACAGAGATATATAGCGTGAAGTACTTTTATGAATTGAAAAGTCGCTATTGTCGGCAGCCGATTAAACTGCGGATAATAGAACGAGCTGGCCGGATGTGACGGATAGTTGCTTTTTATTCTGTATATGATGCCCTGGGGATCGGTGGGCCAGTTCGGTGCCGTGAAAGTGAAACCGTTGTCGCATCCCGCGTCCATCGGATCAGCCTGTATACACATAAAAAAAAACCCGCGTAAGTACACTTATTATCAAGAAAAAAACATTTTTGTCGAAATTGACGTCATGATGTCGAGAATAATAATAATAGCATTATAATATCATGGTATTAATATAGATAATATTTACAAACGCCCCGCAGTGGCCAAAAATTTTTTTTTTCGTAAAATATTATTGTTTTCCGGCGATTCTTTTCGAATTTCGCGTTAGGCCTCAGTTTTTAAATTTGCCACTTTTAACCCGTTAGGCTCTTTGGGCGGCGGCGGTCCCATTAATTTTGTTCAGAGTATACCAAAACATAAACATTTAATGCAATACAAATATTTTTCTTACGGTTTAGAGGTAAAAGACGTGTCAATAATAATCTCGAGAGTTAAAATACTTAAAATCACAAATCGGTTGAGATTTTAGATATAGGTACTCATAATAATAATAATAATAATAAAAAAATCTTGAGAGTATACGCCGTACGTATATGTGCAATATACTTTATGGGAACACCGTTCTTTCAGGTCCTATACGTAAAAAATGTGTTCAACAATAAGATTATATGTTTGATATTTATTATTTATATCTGTTTCGTTCTATTTTTACCGATAATATTTGAGGGGGGTGTAGTGCGGTTTATTTTTAAACCCTCTTAGAAAAACATTTTTATCAAAAAACGTGCGACAGGAAACCATTTTGAAAACGTCGTCTTTATGACGGATTTCTTAAAATTTCGGTTAGTTCTCGAGAACGTCCCTCAATTTTCGGTACATAAATAGTGGTCCCTTCGAAGTTTTTCCCCCTATAACCGCTGGACTTCCAGCACATACGTACCGTCAATCGTAATAACTGCAAAGTTAATAATCGTTATTCCCATTAAAGTTTTCAATTTAATCGTGAAACACGCAACTAAAAAACCGCGAGATAATACCCGTTAGTTTTATCTACAGTCTACCGTATTATTTATAAACGTTATCAGCTAATATAATTAACATTTACCCAAATGCGGAAATCGGTTTTAAACCGCCGGTTCATATTCGGTAATTACTGATTATCACATTGGGAATTACTGGATAATATATTATGTATGTTTAGAGATTTTTGACAATTTTATTTTTGGCCACCCAAACACAAACATTCTGGAACGTCATCATGCGCCTCACGGGATCAAATTACAGTGACAGAATTCTTTCTCGAGTCATAAAAACTACTACTAACCCGTTACACACTATACAGGGTAATTCAAAATTTACGTTACAGCCGTTTTGTCGTATAAACGAGAGAAATGTGTTGCACAAAGGTTTTTTTTTTTTATTTTGATTTTTGACCCTTTGACGCTTGCATTAAATTTTCGTATGCCGTACCTGTATATTATACAGGTTAGGTTAGATCAACGCATAATGAAAAATATTTCAACGGTTCATTTTTCAATTTGGTATTAGCGTTACTTACTATAGGCTGTAACTTACAATTTAACGTTAATGTTATTATTTAGTGGAATTGAGCTTTATTGTTTATTATTATTTAATACGTCGTTTACTACATAGAGTAATATTAATTACTCTGTGTCATCGCTATTACAATTATACATAAGTAATTTGTATCGCATAGTTTGATGAGCCGCTTGTCGGTAGTCAGAACAATTGGTATAACTTTGGTCAGATGAACATTAACCACAATAATATCTTGTTCGCTTATAACTTACAAGTATAGTACATTATTAAAAAAAATAAAATCGCGTTACTTTCACGAATGGAATTTCCAAATAGAATAGTTAACCATTCTATTCAAGAATAGAAAACAAGTGTAAGTTCCCGTTTAAATTTAAAAAGTTGACCCCTAAACCGCTCTTTTAATAGATTGTAAACGAAACGATGTAAAATTGATTTCAGATGTTTTTAATTCAAACAACTTTTGTACCATATAACACAAATGTTGAATCACTCTGTATACACATAATACCAATTATTTAAATTTAAAGCAAACGGGACGAAACGGAATTTTCCGAGTTTTATTAATGTTTTCTTGTTATTCTCATTCGTATAATTATAATAATATCGTAATATTATTATTACACATAATATATTTAATACTTCCTGGATGTCGAGTATTCCGCATTGTTGTTTTAATAAACTAAGTGTTGCGACGATAGCGTTTTTTTTTAAACGCGACGGGAAATTACATTGATGACATCTTAAGGATCCCCGAGGTTTTTTATATTTATATAAATAAATTATACGATCTAACGTTTACGATTTTGACACGAAACGAGTTCCATTCTCTGTAAATTCCGGAATCGTATCGTAAAAATTATTAGTAGGTACACCGACCGCTACATAGTGTCATGATAATTTAATATTTTTATTAGTCGTAGTTAACAAACGCCACATACTTAAGCCCCACAACGGGCATACTTCGCACCACGGGCAGGGGCACTGGTGTACGTTGATATTTTTCATCGCAACAATAAATCGTTGCAATCAAATACCGATTCTGTCCTATCAGTCATGATAATATTCTCTTGCAGTTACTATAAAGTATAAGAGTAACCCAGAAATCAACAAAAGTATCGCCTATTTATCGTTATTTGTTGCAATTTTGTTTGTTTGGTTTTTTAGAAATACTGCGTGTAATCTAATAAAAAGTTTTTAACAAAAGATCACCGCCGATACACACGTATTTTTTAAGATACTATGGGAAAACATTTTAATAATTGTATACTACCAAAAAGTGTTTTCCGATAAAAAAAAAAAAAAAAAAGACATTAAGTCTTAATAATACGAGTAGCTTTTTCGCTACAATCTGCATAATCTAAAAATTATTATTACAATAATAGTTCTGTTCAAGTTTTTAGAAAATAAAATAACAAAACTATTATTTTAGACTATAAGAGGAATTTATTGTTTTAATAATAGTGCGTAATTTTTTTTTTTTTTAAATATACTCGCACGAATACTACCATACAGACATTGCATTTGTGACGTGGGTGTGTTTTTCTTGGAAACCAAGGAGAGCCTAGTGTGTTTTATTTGAAATTAGTTTCTCTGTAGTATATTGATGTTAAACAACCATACGTATTACAGTATACTAACCTCAATGGTGATGCTGTCAAGCCAGTTGCCGTTTACGCACAGATCAAACGAATCGATGCCAATAAACCAATCGGGCGAAGGAATCATACGTGACACCAATGATACCTATGTAAAAAAAAACCAAAATAAATATTATATATATTTAAGTAACGCGTGTTCATTATTTGACGTGTAAACAATTTTTTTTTTTTTTGTAAATCATATTGTTGCTCGGTTTAAGTACCGCGAATAAAATAAACGCTTAGGTACAGCATTATGGCGGGGTATTAGAAAGTATTTAAAACTTTCATATTTAAAAAGTTTTTGCAATTAAAATGTTTGAATCGTTTTCCGTCGCGATAATATTATATATTATACGTTTATATATGTATAATATTCTAAAAAAAAACCTTTAAAAAGCGACAGAATTTCGAATTGTTTGTGTACACGATTACGATATAATATATTTATATTTATATGACGGTGTAAAATGTATTTATTATTATGGAATTTCAACAATTTTGAAGTATATTAAAACTCGAAATACCTCGAAAAAAAAAAAAACAACAACCGTGTTATTTTATCATAGTACAGTATAATTATTATTTTTAAATTCTGAGCGTAGTGAAAAATGTATTGTTTTTACTATAATGTGTGTGTGTTTTTTGTTCTGTGTGTAATCAAATTTTCTACCCAGAATCTAATTCCGATGAAAAAATAATAAGACTGCTCTTTTGTAACCTTTTCGTATCTATTATGTACCTACAGTCTGTACATTGAGGTCATATTTTTGGATTTCGTTGGAGTTTTTCTTTGAAAATAACGTATAAGAAAAACGGACAAATTTACGACAATAAAAGTTTCATTATTCGCGATTTTTTTAAATTGTTTTTTTTCTATCGGAAATACTGTTTCGAGTTTGTATCTAGTAGCTATGTACAAAAATCGATTTTTGATTTTTTCGAGTAGTTTTCTTGATAGTCGAAAAAACCCGAGGTTGTGGCACCGTACATAATTTAATATATAAATAATTATATTTCACAATATTCATAGTACTATTTTGTATAGTTATATTTTCTAAAAAACGCTACTCAGACTAACTTAATCTATCCTACGCATCAACCATGTACATATGAGTGTACTCGTACCCCGAGTTCGGCGCTACTGACCGGAGGAAGGGGGGGGGGAGAAACGTAGAAAAAACAGGAAAGTTTAAGGACATTATAACGGTTTCATTATTTTCGATTTTGTTGTTTTATTGTAATAATTAGATTAAGAATAATCGTTAAAAGCTGATATTTTCCCATAAAATAACATTAGCTATTTACAAACGTGCCTGTCAGTCAAGTTAACTATAGGCTACTACTAACGATAATTAACAATTTTCGAGGTCTTTTTTAGCGTTATTTGGTTTCATGTTCATTATAAGTTTTACTTAGAGTGGTGTAAAAAAAAAAAAAAAAAAAAAAAAAAAATGTCACACGTAACGTAGGCTAGTATTTATATTAGTAACGTAGGTAAGTTGTTTTGCAGACGGATTGAAGCGATACAAATTGGGTCGAATTTAAATATGTTGTTGCGGTTTTTATTTTAGTTTTGTACACCCCTAGATTCTAGGTTACTACGCTATCTATAAGTTTGTAATAACATTTATACGACCCAGTAAATAAACCAATGTAGATAAATACAACAATAATAAGTAATAACCATATGGATTATTAAATTACAAAATTATATTATTAACGAATGAAAATATATAAATTGAGTGGCCGTAGGAGGGGTATAGACTACAGGCGAGCCATCACTCAACCCTATTCGGATATTTTTAATTTTCCAAAAAATATTTCTACCAAATAAGATAAGGGGGGGGGAGGAATTCGACTCTAGTGACGGATCTCTGTTGCACACGTGTTTGTGTGTGTATGTGAGTGTGTGCGTGTTTTTTTTTTTTAATGAGGTTAACGTTGTTTTTTTTCAATTTGTGGGTCGTCACTATAATCACATTTTTATCACGCTACGATGTTTCCTAATTTTATTCTATAATTATTATTGTTAACGGTAAAATAAACATTAACGTCATTTTTTTATGTCGTTTATTTTTCCAGCGCATTTTTTTCCACTAGCCTTAATTATAACACTCGTATAATCGCGCGCGCTATATCAAAAATAATATAATAATATTTGTACGGGTATTTTCTACATTACGTGAACGATAAACTATAACGTTTTCGAGTACCTACAGTAGCGATATATACGTATACGCCACACAGGTAGGTGTTGTTGTATTTGTTTTTTTAGTTTTTTTTTTTTCAATTTCGCAACAGTAGTCGCCCGTATTACAGGGTGTCCCTCCGGAAATCCGACAAACGAAAAAATTTTCGTTCCGTTCAATATTTCTTGAGTTTTTATTTTTTGTTACAATCGCCGATGCGCCGCCATCCCGCCGCATACGCACATAAAGGTGCGCGATACCGTTATCGCGACCGGCGGTGGCGGCGGAGTTAAACTTTTAGCGGCCGGCTTTTGTCCGCGGAATCCGTCGCGTTCGAAATACATTTTTTCGAAATCGCGGTTTCTCCCCTGACCCCACCCCCCCGGTGACGGCCCGTATCTTAGATAGAACACGCCGGATTATAGGGCAACATCGTGATACGCGCCCGAAGCACACCCGTTCGGCTTCCCCACCCCCCCCTATGCGTTTATCGCTCAACGCGGGCCAGAGACGAAACGGATAGCGCGGCACGGCGTATGGGAATCACAATGGCCGTTCGTGCGCGCGTAGCGGTAACGCAATTGCGGTTGTATACGTTATTGCCCCGCGGTGTACAATATTATTATTGTCGTGTTGCGGTCAACGTCGTGAAATCGGTTAACGCCGTTGTGTGTATACAAAAATCGATTTTGCGCTCTGTTAGTTTTGATACCAGAGTGTATGTGGCGGGGAGGGGGGGGGGCGTCCACGGTCAAACCCAACGGTAAGAACGTTGTCGGTTTTTGCACGGCGTTTCAAATTTCGAGTGAGTCGCGAACACGCGGAAAAATTACGAATTCGAAGACCGTCGAGCCCGGGTCGGACATTAGAATATCGAGTAAAACGACAACACGCGCTCGCCCTCCGCTTAGTTAACAGGCCGGACACACTATCCGACATCGAAACGGACGGTGCGGAAAGCGGTGACGGTACGACGACACCGACCGGCGTTGACGTCGCGTAACAAAACACGCGTGCCCGTCACCGCAAACGCTTTGCGTCTCGCGCGCGCGCCGGACGACACCGGAGCCCGGTCGCTGTGCACTCCGAGATTTCGGACCGTAGCTCCGCCGTATCCGGCGCGCGTTATCTACGGCTCGCGTGGTGCGCTCGGGCGGGACGAACGTCATGACGTACGCCTCCTGCTCGGGCCGCGCGCCGGCGGTAAATCGTGTACGGCGAATGGCGCGCGCGGGCACGGCCGCCCGTCACGCTGCAGTCGTCCCCGCGTACCTACGCGCGTTCGTGAGATATTATTACCGGAACGGCGGCGCGGTAAGTATAACTTTTACGATTTTCCCGGACGATTCCGTAAAATACATATATATACATACGTAGGGGTTTTCAATTATATGCCGGGACCGTCCGGGTGCGGGGGCGAAACGTCGGGTAATCGGCGGAAAATTAATTCCGTGTATTCGGCAGAGTTGCAGCGGCGGCGGCTCGGATGAAAATAAATAGAACGCGAATTTACACTCGAACAATTGCAGAAACGGTGTAAATGTTCGATGCTTTTTTTCTCCTCTCGCCCTCTCCCCATCCCCCCCCACAGCCACCACTTCCGCGCTAAAACCATACTATAGGTGTATAGGGGTTGTTTACCACCGTCCCATCTCCCGCGGTCCGTGCCCGTCCTGTAGCCGGCCGATCCGCCACTCCCCGTCCGTATACTCGGGTATATAAATAATCAAATTATCGGCCGAAGAGCGGGGAAACGACTATAAAATTCTTATTAAAGTCTAAAAAAATAAAAAATAAATATATACATGATATTATATTTCCGGTTGTGCGGAGAGAGAAAGAGAAAAAAAAAATACGACGCACTCGCGAATATTAAACGAACGCAACGTCTAGACGCCGTCGCCGCCGTCCGTTTGTCGTGAAGAGCGAGGCTAGTTCCGAAGAATTATAAGTGGAGGGGGAGAAGAACAATAACATCGGCACGGGCTGATATCGAATATCGGCAATGCCGGAAATCGGTTATCAGTTTTTTTTGATTTTTTAACCGATATTTTTCGAAAAAAAAAAAAAGGTGCCCAGTTTAACACGTTACTAACAAAAATACGCACTAACAGTGTTTCTAATACATAATTTGTGTGATATCGGTAAAAATCGGATATCAGATAATTTGAATATCGGCTCGTGGTTTTTTAAAAAAATATCGGATCGGTTACCGGATGTACGTGCGAAAAAAAAATAGGTTTATCGGATATCGGAAAAGATTCGTATCGGCTCACCCTTAAGAATAAGGGTTACAGAAACGATGGCAACGTAACATTTTAGAGTCCATTATTCATATGTAAATTGTTAATGATAACAATTTTTCGAAAAATAATTTCCGAGATAACGAGTGTACACGTTTAAACGGATCGCCACCTTATTGTCGATAGCTGTTAGACTGAAAACCTACTATCGTTTTATCAGTACACTCGGAATCTAAAATAAAAAAAAAAAAAATTATAACAATTTTAAACCGTACACCTCCCATACCGTTTTTATGGTTCCACGACTAAGACGCTGTTGTTTGAAAGCGATTATACAATAATGATATTATAAACGTGGTAGACAAGCGTGAGAGATGAACAACTCGGTTAATATAATTCCTCCATCGTCGGACGTCTAGTCCTCGGGGAGAGCTCCACCCATGATTGGCTCGTGATTCCATCGTGGTCCCACCCACCGACACGCGAAACCGCGGTTATAAAGAACGGGTTCAGACACCGATAAGCGAAAACGAGGTTGAAACTCGTTACGGCTTATAGTTCACCGAACCGCCGCGCACGGCGGAGCGCTGCTGGTTTCCGCTGTAAAATATACGCGTGGGTATATTTAAACGCCAGAACACGCCAATTGTGCAACTGTTCTTTGTAACTGCGTGGTAGGATACCTGTTTTTTTCCATACATCACCAAGTATAATATTTTTTTAAATGTTTTTAAAATTGTCAAGCTCACGACCCTAGGACGGTAGACGGTAACGCAGCCTAAGAATGCGGATCTGTTTTGTAGTCCATTTATACTCAGAAAGACGTTTAAAGAATATAGAAAAGGTTTAAAACCGTTTACTTTCATTAGCTGGTAATATTTTAAAAAATTGCTCTCTCCTCATAATTACACATTGGAGGTACCGGACTTTCTGAATTTATTTAACCTGAAATTTAGAAAGAAAATTCTGGACATAAGATTTATAAATATAAATTTGGTTTAAGATAAAATGCTAGTCGTCTACTAAACTGAGTACCTTTTCGTACACTGAGGATTGAGCGCCGTAATAAATAAATTTTCGAAATTGGCACTTGTAAAACAAAAAATTTTTGTAATCACTCTATCCAAAAAACCATACGTATAATTAACTCGGACTGTATAATCTTCTAGATTTTTAGTTCTAGGTGTAGTATACGATAAATCTCTTAGACCACACAATATTTTTTGTTTGATTTGTTTATTTGTATATTTTTACTACCTATCAATTTGCTCGCCTTTTACTAATTTATTGTAAACTATTATTAATTATTGTTGTGAATTAAATATCCAGGGATCCTTGTTGATTTTTTTCCTTTTAAAATATCTCTAATGATTTTAATAGTTTTGAATACAGATTTTTATTTTTTCTTAATTATATTGGCAAATTTTTGTTTGACCATTTCTTCTAGTTGCCCATGAGTTTTTTCAAATTTTTCTGCAGATTTAGATAGCATAGAATATTTTGGTCGTTGTCTAATCTTGTTGTTTTACACAATGCAGATAATGGCTGTCGTCGTCGAAAAACATTGACAAAATCAAAAATTACTAAAAAATCTACTTATTTACCAAATATGTAATTATCCCCAAATGTGTAAAAATATGTAAAATCTTTTCGGGCTTATTTTAATTAGAATGATATAAGCCGTGCACATTTTTCGTCAGATTAAAAATATCTCATTTCAATACAAATTTGTGTTTACAATAATATTCGTTCACTAATTAACAGTCTTTCAACGGAAACCTCGTCGAAAAGTTTGGCCCTGGGTTCCGTAAATGTCTTAATCCGAGTATGGCTGCAGGGAGATTGGGAATTGGTTTGTATCGTTTACGTCGATGCGCAATATACCATATTATTATGTACGCATTCAATGATTATAAAGACACCGGCGGCGCCGTGCCACATTCGTCAAGAGGAATTACGTCACCTTATACTTTGTTAATTAAGTTTAGCGAAAATTCCGTTTATTTTTCGTTGGCTGCCGCGGTGCGGGGGTTTGTTTGAGGACGCGCGGGACGCTTCTTCTCAATTATTATTAAGCTCGGCTGTAATAACGATAAAACCTTTCCGTCCACCGACTCCTCCCCACCCCTGCCTTCCTACCCGTCAATCTCAGTTCCCCCTCTCGATTTTTCCTCTACCCCCTCCCCCCACCCCCGACGTTCTGTCCGGGTGACCCTTTGCTCGTGATTCCAGAGTCTCGACGATTAATCAAATTAAAAACAGTAGGAACACACGGCGTGTTTCCGTGAGGCCCGTTGCCATCACAGTACGGGTTTGAAGTCTATATATTATTAAATAAGAACGGAAAAAGTCAAGCGAAAAAAAAAAAATTAAGGTAACGCACTATTATTCAAACCTCAACATTAATATTATAATCGTCCGGAAAAACTATATTTTATTTTATTTTTTTCTACACATAAGTACGATTAGATATATAAAACATATTTTATTTACATAGGAGAATACGGTCTTGCAAGAAACTGATACACATAGTAGCCCAGCCAGGATGTCTCAATGTCTCAGAATTAAAAAAAAAAAAAAAAAATGTTTCACTGGTAACGTTAATTATAATCGCAAATATGTTACTTACTTAAGAAATAAAATATGAAAATAAACCACGCACACTATAAAGTAACACGAAATAGCATAAACACGAAAACGTTATAATACAAAGATCAAAAAATACGGTTAATGGGTAAACGAATGAGGAAATGACACTCGCGTGGCTCCCGGGTTATGCCATTGTATATAAAGGGCAAAATGTTTTAGCCCGGAGACGATTAAATCTGAACAAAAAAAAAAAATGTAGGTATATGATTATGGCAAGACAGAACAAGGATGAAACCAGATAGTATAATATTATATCGTATATATTAACCTAAAGTTTGACCCCTATTAGTTGAAAAAGGTAAAGGAATTATTCAAGTGTATCTGGCCTCACTTGTGAAACATATATTTAACGTACGTAATATATTTATCATTTTTTGTATGTAAATTAAGTGCAAGCGGTGATAAAATAAAAGATAATAGCTTGAAATATATATAAATATGGGTATAGATATTACCGTGATGGAAAGAGCAAGTTATTCAAATTAAAGATCACAACTGCAAAAAATACCTGAAAATACAAATTTACCTCAATGCGATGTGTTGTGTTTTGGACGCTGTATAACACTGCGCTCGAGTACACATATACATACGAAAGTAGGTACTCCAAAAGAAAAAAATACTACTATGATATTTCCGCGATTGGTAATATCGGATAAAAAAAAACAAAAAAAAAACTGATACTGGGAATGGGTGTGTCACTGTTGTAGGTGGTAAGTTGGGAAGGTGAATACGTACAATTATTTCTTGTGTAACTGTAAGTAACCATTGCTAACCAAAAACGATTCGAAGTTAATTTCGGTTATACATGTTTAGAATGGTCGTAATATTTACTATTTTCGTCAAAATTTGATATTAAACCTCGCGAGAAAAAAAAATACAACAATAATACACTCGACTTTTTATTTTTGACCGCAAAAAAAAAAAAAAAAAAAAACGTATAATGAACTTACTGTAAAATTTTCAACTAATTTTGTTTGGTCAAACGATTTTATCCTCAGGGTACTTGGCGAATTAAAATTTACGAAAAAAACGCGCGAAATTAAAATGTTCACAAATAGTTCAAAAAGGAAGCGGAACGATTGGAGGAAATGGGGAAATTTTTGCGAAGACACGGAAATATATTCACCTGTATGGTTCTGACGGTCGAGTCTACGAAGAAGTAGAACGGAAAAGTCTCGCCTAGCTGTGTTTGGGTTTGTCCTACGCGTGTATTTAATAAAACTATGCATAATATGTGCTGTGTGGTATAAAACCGTATATTATGCTTACGTCGATTTGTTACTCCATGTTTAAAAGTCACTAAGGATTTTCCCTGGGATCATAAGACTTAAGGTCAGACGGAATTCCCATTTCATATTAAAAATATTATTATATTAAATTTGCAATTTGTTATTTCGGAATAATAACAATCCGTTGAGAATACATAGGATAAAATATAATAATATTATGTTTATTATGCCACGGTATTATACTGCGCATACCGGCGGTAGAACCTGTGGAAAATATTTTGCATAACCATACAGGTAACATGACAACTTAAGTTTATATTATGTTTTCCTTTATTCGCGGTTTAAGTTTATGAATTTCTAAATAACGTGTAATTTTAAAACCAAGAGAAATAAACTGAACGTTTTTTTTTTTTTTTTTTCATATTATTATTTTGTTTTTTACCTAAAAATTGGTTTAATAAATGTTAAAATGAAATTTAATATCGCGTAGGCCTTGAATTATTTTGATAATGCGTAACGATATTTGTTCATACCTAATATTCTTTACCCGGCGGCCGGGCAGTGTTCTCCCGTGGGCTGACCGATTCGGGGCACAGTCAACTGAAACCGGTGAGGTGATTTCGTAAACCGGAATATTCAGTGGCGTAGCGGTGGCATGACGGGCAATGAGCCACGGGCCTATGACATTTAGAGGACCCAAGTCGGGGCCAATTGAAGTTCATTTTCGAATGACTTTTATTTTTTCTCATCAGCCTATTACAAGTTTTAGTGACGTTCACAAGTTATTCCTACAGTATAAATGTACACTTCATAACTATGTTGACATTGAGAAGCTTTAAAGTAAAACGTACTTTTTCCATTCGTCTCAATTTTCGGTAGAGCGGATTTTCTTTTTGTGGTATGTAATATACATTGAATATTTGTAATTTGGAATAATTTTCAATAAATGTGGACCGTACCTAAAAGTTTCCGCACACCGGACATTTTCCAGAATAAGAGCGTTTTGCGATAAATTTAGAAAAGTATCTATCCTTATTAAATTATTTTAGTTCACAATGGTGTTAATGTACATATTATAATAATAATGAATACTCTACATTAACGAAATATGCATAATATTATAACATGGCTTATAGTTACGAGTAGTTTCGTAATAATATAGTATAGATATAACAATAAATTTGTAAAATATTGTGTATTTTATAGACCAAAACCTAAAAACTATAACAAATACAATGGCAATAAAAATAACTAAAATTAAACTAAGAATATAATATAAAGTTAAATAAAACAGTAGAGGTCTCATTTGCCAGTCACACTATACAATGTTATGTAAAATTACGTTAGAATTTAGTGGACGTGATGAGAATGAAAAAAGGAAAATAAGACAGGACGGAACTCTAAAGTTAATAAAGGAAAGTTGTTTACTAGAATCAATTTCATAGGCAATGAAACCAATACAAGAAGATTGGACCATCAGTTTGTTGATAATTCGACAGGGAGGGCGAATCTAGTACGCTGAACTCTTTCAGTCATTCTATAATCATTGCTAGCGAACGGGTTATAGACGATGGAGCCGTGTCCAAGCAACGGCGGACGAAATATCGAGGAAAACAGAGTTTTGAGGTAGGACCGAAATTTAAATTCATGGAAAATTAGCTAGACAGACCCCAGAATTCTAAGCGCAATATAGCACATCGATAAGATGTACAACTCGGACAAAGTGAGGGTGTAAACTGGAAACCAAGATTAATATTGTAATTATAATTTAGTAATATGTCTATTGTATATGAATGCGAAAGTTTGTGTGGACGGATTTATGCTACAACTTCACGCCCGGGCTACAAAAACGAAATGAGCCGTAACATTGCGTAAATATAGTTCTAGACCAGGAATGAAATATAGGCTACTTTTTTCCTCCGTATTGAATACCTTAACGGAAGAAGGGGGGGTGATACAAAGTTATAAGTATTTTCAGGACGAAAATCGAATTATTTTTGTTGATTTGTTGGTCACATTGGTGATAAAATTGATAAATAATTATTTTCTGGTACAGACAATACCGGACGGGACAGCTATTAATATTACGTATGTGAATGTTTGTTTGGTTGTTTGTGAACTCAATCACGCCGAAACGGCGGAACAGTTTTCAATGAAATTTGGCACACACGGATAGAATGTGTTCTGGATTGACTCATAGGAGACTTTTTTATTCCGTAATTTAGTACCAGAAGGGTGGCTGTAACAGGGTTTTCGGTGCTTTTGAAAAGAAAATCGAATCATTTTTGTTTATTTATAGGTTTTACTTCGGTGACACGGATGAAAAAAAAAACAGTTATTAATAATTGATTTTGGGGTCACAGACAATAAAGAAGAACTCTTTTGGAAATATGAATTACCGAGTAACAACAATTAACTTTGTTAAGTACCGAGTGGAAACGGGGAATCACGGGGGAAAACGCGCGGTGAGACACGTTTTTATATTTTTTAATTTGTGTTCGTTCAATACTGACAGTAGCAAATAATAATATAACCCATAACGTAAATAATTATAAACCATTATACAATATTGTAATTACGTTAATAAATAATATTCGACGGCTATAGCCTGTGCCCTAAAGCGGCGGCGATTTATAGGATGCACGCTATGTCGAGTCCCCAACGAGCTAGAAATCCATTCGGTACCACAATAACGGGTTTAAAACCCGAGAATATTACAGTTTTGATAATTCGTTAATTTTAGAGAGAGAGAAAAAAAAGGCGCATATTTTTCGCGATTCGTAAATAGAAAACGCACGTAGTGTTGAAACCGCGTTAAAAATGTATAATAATTATTTAAACGGTATAAAAACGGTAAGAGTACTAATGCAATAAACGTATTCGCATACATACTTTGTCCGTTATAATCACAACGCGTACGTATAATAATAATACCATAACATAATTATTGATCACAATCCTATTGGGGAGTATTATTTTGTACGTGCAGTTAACGAAATCTCACTGGTGTCGCGCGACAACGCTCAAAACTCGGTGACGCCGAAATCGTATCGTAAATACGCTGCAACACGCGTAATAATATTACGCTATAATAATGTATACCTTGTTTAAATGCATCCATTAAACCGAATTAACTTGATTCGTATTGAATCAATTTGCATTAGGGTACAAGTATACGCCGTGCACGTCTAAAACCGTATTAGTATAATGCACTGTCACACAAACTAATTTACGTGCACAGTTTAAACCGATTTACCTTCATCATTCGAATTTATAATGTCATAACATAATGAAAATAATGAATATTACTACAACATCAATTCTTCAATAACTGATAACATTTATTACTACACCTTATCGCAATTCTGATTCGGTTGTTGTAGTGTGATCCGTTTACAATGTTTGCATACATTTTGTACTCTCGTAGTTATTTCCGATGCGCATTCCAAATGGGAATTGACTATACCGTTTTAGTCAAACCGAATTGAAAAAAAGTGATATTTGTTGGATTTTTTTTTAAGATAATTTTTTAAAAATATTTTCAATGGCTAATGTTAGTGCTTATAACGAAGTGTTTAGTGCGTTTTTCAGCGCTTATTCTGATGGTTATAAATGCTATAAATCCCGAACCCTGGTAACAACATCAAAAATAACTACACGGCGGCGTATATACTCGTATATATTATGTATCGGTATAATGCACCGATCCGTTCAAATTCGGAAACGTATAGGTCATTGTAGAAAAAAAAAAAAAAAAATGAATTATACATTTTTATACGCATTGCCGTTTACACGGTTAATGTACAGTACTCTTATCGGTACTCGTCTGGATGAATGAACAAACGAACAGCATGTTTTCTAAATTGTCTGGGTGATTAGAGTGGTTGGGTTGATAAATATATATTTTGTTCTATTTAAATGTATCTATAGACACCTACACGTCTACAATACGTTTATGGTTCGAATAAGTTTGTATTTTCGCTACGGTTATTTCTAGTTCGCATTTATATCGCTGTCATTGTGTTTGTTTTTCGTTATTTTCTTAGTATTGAACTTGCAACAAAAAAAACTTCTCGACACATTTTTTTTATACGGTCCCAAAAATAACGGAATAGTTCGACACACAATATGACGATGTCGCTCAAATCGCAAATCCGAACAGTTTAGTTAAAACAATACATAGATTTTGATTTTTTGTATCATATAATATAATACCTCGAACACCAACTCGAAAAATTCAAGAAATATTTTTATTTACGTATGGCTATAAATCGTCATTTTACCGAATATTTCGCGTTTTACAATAATCATATTTACCGAACGGCTGTAATAATATGTACCTAATGTAACGGTACACAGAACAGGTTTATACGAGCACAATATCATTATAGTAGCCGGTAACACAACGTTTAATTCTGTACCGCCTGAAATTTTCTGTTTTCATTTTTCTAATGAAGTTGTATCCATAGATTAAAAATGTATATAGTCTAGATGTAAAAGCCTGATAGTTCGGTAAACTACATATCAGTGGCGTGTATACATAGAAATTTTATTTTTTGTTTAGGGTGAGGGGAATGGTTATAAAAAAAGAATTAATTTAATTAAAATTGTGACAAAATTTAATTTTTGAGGGACACTTGCAAAATTACTAATCATTTCTTCAGTGTCTGTTGAAATACTTCGATGAATCGACATGAGGGCTAATCCTGTTAGTCGATTTTCGCTTGTATACTATTTCCAAATCTTTTTAATGTCGAATTGGATCTTTCTGATGACGCTGTTGACTAAAGAAATTCATAAATACGCACGTGTGCCGTACCAATTATAAATTTCGAACCGGGAGGGGGGAGGTTGTACCCCCGGAAACCTCCCCTGTATATGCCACCGTTATATATAGGAAGTTACACTATCGTTTTATTGATTCGTGAAACGAATTATTGTTTTTTTTTTTTTTTTACGTTTGATAAGTACACGTGCAACGATACGGAAAATATCTGAAATTGTTTCTGTCGAATCCAATACCTGCAATTATATGGTTTCTAATACCGTCGCATAATTTCGTCGTATAAACAATATTTATGTTGTTTCTTTTCTTTTTAATACATTTGCGATTTTCGCAACACGTCGTAAAACTAACGAAATCGGACGGTGGCGTGCACAATATCCAATACCTATAGTGTAAAAATAATTACCGACAACATTTGCGTTATTATATTTTTAAAACGAAATACGTATTTTGTATTCCGCGCGCATATCGCCAAAAAGTATTTCAAAAGTATTAACCTAACCTATGTATGTATATACAGGCGTATATGTATTTGTTTTAAACTTTATCCGTGACGAGAATTTCAAACCGTAAATCGAAATAACAAAACTACACCCGCGGCACTGTGTATATAACAAGAGTAAAACTAAAACGCATATAATAATATTTACGAATTTAATAAATAAAAATATTATAATAACGCAATGTTAATACTTTTGATAGTAATTGTAGTTAGGAATGAAAATAAAAAAGTTAGTTTCATTGTTTGTATTTAAAAAAAATGAGTAAATCGTAGCGCCATTTTTTTCTATTGTATACCTTTACTGTAGACATTACACGGGCGATTGGACGCTTTTAATTTTAAGGAAATTGGCGATGGTTTTAAAAATATTCTCTAATTTTGTAAAATTAAAAAAAAAAAAAAAATGTCTACATTTAAACGGCCACTCTTACGATAAGAATATTGTACTGGATCCATCTAATACCCAAAACCCATTTAACGGGAAGGAGTAAGGCTATTTTTTACGTTTTAAATCAAAAAGCCACACAAAACTATGTATTGTATGGAAATTGATTTTGACGGATTTCAATTTCGAAAACGCGTTGCGGTTGTTTGGGTTCTTTAGTAGGATAATGTAGAATAGAATATTTGAATGTTTTTTTTTTTTTTAAATTTTCATTATTATTATCAAGTATAGCGCCTTTTCTGAAATTAAATTTTTTCTGGGTGATACTTTACAGAGGTATTTTTTTTGAAATTCGAGATAATGAGAAAAACTTCGGTCACTAGGTTAAAATAATTGAAAGATTAAAAATAAGTTTGTCATTGGCAATCGTTTTTATTTATTTATTGTTATTGTGAAGTTTTTATTATTTTAATTTTTTTTAAACAATCATTGTCGTTACGGAAACGCACATTGTTGTAATCATTTTCCCATAGTATGATATACACCATATATTGTTTTGTTGACAAAGCAACGCTATCTACTGAACTCCACTCAGAATCGTTTTTTCGTTAGCAATGGTTTATCGTTGCTTATAGATATACATCAAATTCCCGTCTATATCCTACCTTCCCAACTTCTCACCTACAACAATGGCTGCATCCACGTGCAAAGTATGTCTGTCCTTTTTAAATCTAAATCGACTAATATGTCACCTAACACAATCATAAATTCCTTTAATTTTATTAGTTATTTGATATTTTTTTATTTTTTGAAAAACGAAATACACGCGATTCTAAAATCTTACATCGTTTATATTATTAATATATTTTTTTTTTACCCTTAAGTTTAGCCACACAAACTATTTTATTTTCAAATCGCACCTATACAGTGAAAATTCCAAAAATCATTGAAGCTTTAGTTCAACATTTAACCAAGTACTTAGTTAAATTAAATTTGGACGTTAACATTTTAAATTTCAATCAATTCGACTTTGACGAGGTATCATGTTACTTTTAAGTCCGGTTTTTTCGAGTGATTTCAAACTGATATCTATATTTAAATTATTGACATATTTTTATGACACACTTACACTGCGCAAACGGATAATTGAAATATTTACTCGTATCGTTATTGCCGTAAATTGACTAGTTTTCCCCAGTTATGAAGGGAACTACAAGAAATTTCAAAAAATGACCGTCTCAATGCATCAAACAGACAAAATTCGCATTCAGAAAATATGTATGAAAACTGGAGCGTCATTTATGGTTGAAATTTATTTAAAATACAGAAAGAAAAATAAGTACGAGTCATTGCGAAACCAATAAATTCCCCGCTGCTCTAGAGCATCTAAAATAGTTTTCAATATTGAATTCATTTTTTCATACTTTTGAGTACCATAGCTGTTAAAAATTAATTATTTTAATGTTTAAATTTTTAACTGCGTTAATGTAAATTTGCGTCAAATCCATAAACAGTTGATGCATATTTCACGTTTACGTTCTGTAGTAAAATATTTGACCTCGATAATAATTCGCCCTGGATAATTTTTTATTAGTATGTAATCATTTCCTGTTTACCCATTTTATCGATTTGTATTGTCTTATTATATCTTCACTGCAGCGTTGCTTTATTTACTTATCTTTGTGTTTATATAATATTTTTAACTTTTTTTTTCCATCAAGCAATAAAAGTTTTATTCTCCCACTCACGTAACAATCAAGTTTTATGAGAAAAAAAACAGTTATAATTTTTTTCACAACAAATTATTATTATTATAATTTGTATAATATATTTGGTGTAAGAAACCAGAAACTTGGCAGTTTTTTTTTTTTTTTTATGAAAAATAATTGGAATTTCATATTTCCCGTAAATCTTTTTTCTCGTACAAAAAAATAAAAATTTAAATACGCGAGAAAAAAAATCCGCCCAAGTACCTGCGTAGGTTAATAACGTAGATTCGCACGGTTCCGTATTAAAATATATATTAAATTAAAATTGACACGCAGAAATTTTAGCATTTTCCACTTATTTTTAGATTCCAAGCGCAGCAAAGAATGTATATTTTAATATGATGCGCTTTCTGTACGCGAGTATGCGTCTGTGAAATTTTTCTGCTAAAAATCTTGTTCCGAATTTCAATTGTAGCACCTTTTCCGAAAGAAAATTATGTCTAGTCTAGTTGGTACATTGAGGAGGTCATTTTTTGATTTTTCAAGGGATTCGCAAACTAAATCGGAAACAAAATTATGGGTAAAACGGAAAATATTTACGGTGCGTCGTGGCGATACTGATTTCATTGCGTTTAATTTTTGCGAACTATGTTTTCTAACAGAAATATTGTTCTAATAAGAAAATGAGAAAAGATACAGTTTGTTCCTTTTTTATCTAGTCGATGAATGAGATAGTGGTTTTCCTGTAGTTTTTATTAATGATAGAGCAAAGCCGAAAATATATGTGGAAAGAACACGAAAGTTTACGAAAATAATGTTGTTATTATTTCTGGTTTTGTTTTTTTGTTGTGATTCAGTTAAAAATATTCGTAAAGACTTGAAATATTGTCGTCGAAAAACTTATATTTGCTTTTTCTAGATACGGTAAAATTTTCAAAACATTTGAGCCACTTTATAAACATTTTAATTTCACAAGTTTTCTATGTAATTTTTATTTGCAGGTACTTTGTGGATAAAATAGTTTGACCAAACAGAATTGGTTAAAATGTAAACAAGAGGTTCATTATAAGTTGTATGTACATAATAGTCAAAAATAAAAATTTGAGTGTGTTGCAGTATTTTAATTTTTTTTATATGTATATGAGTTTTAATACCAAATTTTGACGAAAATCGTAAATATTACGGCCATTCAAAACATGTTTAACCGAAATTCGCTCCGAATCTATTTTCATTAGGAATGGTTTATTGTTTTTTACAGATTCAATTTAAACAATTTCCTACCTTCTTATCTTCCTACCAACAACAGTGGCGCACCCGTGCCCAGTATTAGCTTTGCTTTTTTTTTTTGTTGTATTTTTATATTTTATATTTTTTTATAAAATTCAGCAAAAAATAATTGTAAATACTTGTAACGTCCTCTCATAATGTTTTTATTAATATCTTTTGACTCGTAAACACGCGACCGGTAGGAATAAAAGTGAAGAGGAATAATGAGGAGATTTACTACATGTAAATTTGGAAATTGTAATTATAAATTATGTATAGAAGAATAACTGTACAGACCAAAGTAATAATATATATAGCGAGTAACGAAACGTAAAAAATGACGATCTTTATGACCATCTTTTTTTTTATATAAGTATACCTCTGTACACTTATAGACCCCCTTATTTAATTTTCCCAATAATACGAGTACATGCCATTATTGCAATGTACATTTTTGCCTATTTGTAATTATGTTTTTGCAGTCGTCGCCACTCACCCTGGAATGGTTGCCGTCAACAAAGAACTGAGCTTGGGTCCTGGCAGCTCCGGTCGCCACGCTCGGCGCCACGAAAGTATCCAGTACCGTTTCTTCGCCCCCTCCGCCGTCGTCTAACTTGTCGCTGCGGCCGGTCTTGGCGAACATTCTGACGCCTTCGGACGCCGGCGCCCCTTCACGGAACATCGTATACCCTCTGGAGTGCGATCTGCCTGTAAAAAATCAAAAACCAACGCCATATTGTTACACGACATACGTTTTATGTTGTCAAGGTAAAAAAAATTCCGAGGGAGGGAGGGGGGGGATATTACAACCCATTAGTTTTGCCACTAGTTGTAATAACACTACATGCAATATTTACTTCCATATTTCATTAAACGTCCGATTTGATTGTACGTCATAACTCAAAATATACCGCGAGCTTAAGTCGTACGCGTTTATTTTATTATTTATACGCGCATTTAATACACGGAATACAAATATTCTGCAATACGCACAATCGTTGCGATAACGCGGCCATATTTTTAAGGGTCGTGGACGTTGTGCGTGTTTTACCTGAATTGATTAAGTTAAAACCGGTGTTGCAGGTCATTGCATTTTTTTAATTAGAACTCTTTAGCCTCTTCTGTGCTCGTTCATAACAACGGAGTGGGGGGGGGGCAACAGCAACAGCGGCAGATAAAAAAGGTCGGACGTAAAAGTGATTTTTTTTTATTTATTTATTTATTTTTTTATCATTGTTAGCTTCGGATTCGGAATTTAGTAGCATTAAAAGGGTCAGACGCCGTACACTCGTGTATTATATTAGCCGGCACCCCTCAACCCCCCAACATCCACCTTTTATCCACCACCAACGTATTTATAGCGCAAATGTCGGAACGGGCTTTTGTCTGACAAAAAGGGACAAAGGATCTCTCGCCCGACGATCATTAAGTGGTACGGTGTTGCGGTGTGCCGCCCGACGATATCGTGGATATATATTTATTATTTTAATCGAACCAGTCGATTTTTAACTTGCAGCCGAGCATTCGATTGTTAAAAATTACACAATATTATAAAACCCACTATACTATTAAGTATTATAATGTATAGGTAAAGACACCACAGTTTATATGTTTAAAAATGTAGTTTTGATAATGACTGAATTAGTCAAACGGTGTTTTAAACAAGACGTTCAAACAAACAATCGATTCAAACAGCGTACAAACAAAACAGTTGTTTTAAACAGAAAAAAAAAACACTTAAAAGTGACATTTTTTTATGTATATAAATTTGTATAAATAAAATGGATTACTATTTTGAAAATAAAATTTTTTTATTAGGTACCTACGTTATTTGATATTTTATATTGAACAATTACAATTTATTATTTCTTATCGACATTAGCGCACCCTGTACCGAAATGAGCCAAATGTACCCACACATACAATGTATATGTACAATATAATAAAAAGAGCTTGATGGTGTTGGTGTGTGTGTGTGTGTTTGCCAGTTTTGTAGAAGTTGGGAAGGTAGTAAACAAAAAGTTATTTAATTTATATCTGTACGCAACGAAATACGATTCTGACCGAAGTTCGGCTAAACATGTTTTGAAATGCCGTAATTTTTACGGTTTTCGTCAAAATGTACGTTAAAGTTAAATACTACAGAGTAGTTCTACCTTTTTTTTTTTTTTTTATTTTTTTTACTTCTAAGTAAAACTTACAATGAACCTCTTATTTGAACTAACGAACAGGTAGTGTGTTGTAAAATATCTAAGACCTCCTAAAACTCTTAAACTAACTCCGTTACGTTTGGGCTTGGACCAAACTCGAATATAGGTGTCATGCCTGTGTTACGCGTCCCCGTCGATTTTAAACAGTTTAAAATTTAAATCGTGATTTGTATCAGCTCTTATAGGTACGTACGTGTATATTCATTTTTTTTTTAGATTCTAAGCGTATTGGTTTTTAATTTTATTTCCGATTCAATTATTTTTGCGCTCGGGTTGTACCGATTTTTTACCCCCGGCTGCAGGCGTATACAGGTATAATATTACCTATACAAACATAATATTATTCCTGTACACACGATTATGTCTTGTGTGTACAATAACGCGTATCCCGTAGAAAATACAGATGTCACGTTTGAAAAATTATAACAACGTGTTGTACACATAATAATAACAACGAGAAAAACGTGTATCAACAAAGAATTTTACGCGCATAAATAATTTCTATTCCTATAGCTTGCTATCAGTGACTCGATCTGCTGGAATTCATTTTCGGGGAGGTATAATAACCCCCACACCCCTTTCCATCCCCGGCTGTGCCACTGGCCACTGAATATTATTAAAATATACCTAGAAACGTAGTTAGTATTTTACGTCGTAATGTTTATAAATAAAAAAAAGTCTCATTATAATAATTCGATAGTGCATTATAGTTTTTGTTCTCATAAAACATAACAACTTTTTATTTGAAAAAATGATTTAGGGAATATTATTCAGAAGCGCAAGTCGTGTCTGTTGCGGTAAAACAAGAGCACATAACATGTTATGATATAACAGCGAAGTAGTCCGGAACGTGTAGGTCGAATTTTCGGCTGCCTTGAACGGTTAGGGTTATTTAAAATCGAAAAATCAAGGGCAAAATAAAATACAATAAAACGCAGTTGTGTTCGAAATAAACGATTTTCAGTGAGCCTCACTGAAATTATTTTAAAACTGCAATGTCGTTTGAATTTTCGTCCTAATGGTATATTTTTGGGGTTTCACGACGCGAAAAATAACAACTTTAAAGTATCACCGGTGTTTAATAACTCATCTGTAAAGTTACTGTAAGTTACCTAACCATTTTGAGTATATTTACTGCCAAAAAAAAAAAACATCGTTGTAAAACTAAGTGGTGCTTATACTCGCATACCGCTCGCGATATAGCGAGAAATAAACTGTGAAATGAGGGTGGGAAGGGACTTTTCCCTAATGAATTTATTGGAAGGTGAGGCGAAGATATATAATTTGTATGCACAGAAAACTTGACAAATTACGAATAATTGCGTAGGTAGTACATTATTTCGTAATTTCTATAAAACGGATTCGTTTGAAAAAATCGTAAGATCGATTAAAACTATAAACAAAAAACTAGTGTCTTTTTTTTTCTCCGTAAAAATACTCGTACTGTGTTACCTTAAAGTAACTTAGATAGTTACAATCTTCGTCGGATTTTCATAACAAAAAAAAAAAAAAAACTAGAGTTAATGTATCGAATTTCGCAGCAGTCTGATTCTTAAGAAATCGTGAATAGCTTTAAAGAAAATTCAAGCAGCGTGTCAGAATTCTATTCGCACGATTCTATACTAAGAATGCAATACGATTTATCGGGTTCTTTATTTATTTTTTTTTTCTAGTAAATAATATAAATGAGTACACCCGTTGTCTGTAATCTGTATTATTGTAAGTTCCAATCTATATATATATATAAGTTGATTATTATCAAGCGTGCGCGTGCGAATGTGAATATTATACTGGTATAGAAAATGTGTAACTAAGTTTAAAATATACGATGAAAAAAACAATACAATCGACGCTTTAGCGTTCGAACGAAAACCGAAATATTATATAATATATAGCGCGAAAGATTTCCGGGGGGGGGGAGAAGGGAGATGAGAGGGAGGGAGGGAAAATGTTCTATATAAATAAAAAATATATATATAAAAAAAAAACTAATTTCATTAAAAATTAACGCGAAAACAACGCGTGCGTTTGATTGTGTTTTACGGCCGTATACAAACAACCCCCCATCCAAACACCGTCCATCCGGGTACGGGGGTAGAGTTTCGATTTCGCGGCGGTGTTCGAGCCAACTGGGCGACGTTTTGCCGCCGGCGAATGTTCGTTGGCCCCGAGCCAAAGTAAATGCCGAACTCGATACCGAATCAATCCAATAGGCTAATCAAGTCCTCCAGACACCGGCACACTGTATTATTATATTGGCGATCGGGACCGTTTCGAACGTGGTTTTTGCCGATAGTCCGGTAGAAAACGGCCCCGTTTCTCTCGCGTGCGCGATGGGCCGAGGGGGCAAAACATTTTATGGCTACGAAACTAATTCGTATCCGTATTTTGAATACACCAGTAAAAACCAGGGTCTTTCAAATGTCAAGTAACAGTCGAGTTTTCCTATACGAATCGCTCGTTTTTCAGTTGAACGACTTATTACAAAACATTTTATTATCATACATTCTGAAACGTTGTCCCCATTCTTGGGACCCAACTTTTTATTTATGATATAGGCTATTGTCGTTGAGGTGAAAAAACCTCTTCTGTGCTAAAATGTTATTTTTAAGGTGACATGAAAAACGTTATAAACAATCGAAAACTATCAATGATTAATGTGATGAGAATAAATTTTAAAATTTTAAACGATAAAACTATTTATTCTGAAAAAAAAAAAAAAATAAAAAACTTAATGGTTATGAATAATATATTATATAAATTGTCAATATTTCATCTTATAATGTGCCAAAATCATATAGGAGGTTTTTCAATGTTACATAGTAAGTTTTCTAATGGCGATTAATGATCATATGCAACATTTTTAATCGCATAGAAGGTATTTTACAAGGTAACACATAAGAGGTTTTGTTTTTTATTTTTGATTAATTTTTTCATGAAGATGGGGCACATAGGAGATATTATCATATGATTGCTTATTTTTTTTTCTAAATCCAGGGATATCAAAACTATTCAAAATCGAAAATTATCGAAAATAATTAATCGAATAAATAGTCGGTGAGAATAGCGCGGTTTGAGTTACAACCAGACCGAGTGCAAACATTTTTATCACAAACCAACAATTTTTTCGGAGGATTTTTTTAATCATTGTGGAATCGGTTAAGCTTTATTCTAAAAAAACATTTTCAATTTTTCACCCTTACTCCGTATATCTTAAATGAGTTCTCATTACATGTCCAAAACAATTTTTTTCTCTACGCGTGCCCTCGAAAAATGTGTTTTCTCCGGTACTCCCGCCGTTTCCCGGATCTCCTCGGTTTTCCACCTACACCAGGAATCCGCTCGGAATCTATACATCGAACAAATGTCGGAAACGAACACTACATAATTATATCAACGAGCAAGTCTCTGCAGCCCCTTATAGAGTTGTATTATATAGGTACCAATGGGTTATACGAGTGATGTGTTCCGACCGATAAAACGGCACTCGGGGAGGTTTATCACGTCGAACGCTTTTCTGCAGCGCAGTGGCGATGCGGGTACGGTGGATGAGATTAAAGGAAGGGGGCTGGCTGGCTATTAATACATATGCACTGTTTTATATGTATACGATAATGTTGATAAATGAATAAAACAGACGGCCTTTGTGGCTGAAAACTG